ATTGCCTTCTGTCTGTTCACATCTCTATTACATGCGTGAAGGCATACTTTCTACTCTCCCATACTCTCTATAACCTTCCCCGCTCCTCATCCACCCTTCCGACTCTCACCTTCCTCTTTTCCCTCCTCACTCTTCCGTTCACCCTTCACCTCCCTGTCCACCCTTCACCTCCCTGTTCACCCTTCCCCCGTTTCTCCTCTTCTGTCCCTCCCAGGCAGCTCGTTTTGTGGGCTTTTGCGACTGCTTCAAAATCCCCTTCAGCATCCGCCCCCCTCCCCTGTCCACCCTTCCCCCCTACACCCTCCCCCCTTTCTGTCCCCACCAGGCGGCTCGTTTTGTGCGCTTCTGCGACTGCTTCAACATCCCCCTTGTTACCTTCGTGGACGTGCCTGGGTTCATGCCAGGTGAGATTCGACTTGATTCGTCCCATACTTGATTCGTGGCAGGTGAGATTCGATTGATGTCAGGTAAAATGTCAGTCAAGCCAGGGGAGATTTGATTCGTGCAGTGTGAGATTTTATTCGTGCTGTGTGATTTGATTCGTGCTGTGTGAGTCCGATTTTTGTTGGAAGAATGGGTTTGCCTTGCTTCTTGTGTCAATCTCTTTTAGTCCTCTCCTCTCATCCCATCTCCCAGGCACGAAGCAGGAGCATGGTGGCATTATCCGGCATGGAGGCAAGCTGCTGTACGCGTATGCAGAGGCAACAGTACCCAAGGTGACTGTCATCACTCGCAAGGCATATGGCGGCGCGTACGACGGTACGTGCTGTGTGTGATTATACTGTTGCGTGCCTGTAAAGAGAATCGACTCTTTGTGGAGGGACAGGGGGGCAAGCTGCTGTACGCGTATGCAGAGGCCACGGTGCCCAAGGTGACTGTCATCACTCGCAAGGCGTACGGTGGAGCATACAATGGTACGTGGCTATTGTGGTTTTACTGTTGTGTGTCTGTGAAGGGAAGTGACTATCTATCCATGGGAGGAGCATGGCAGCACACTGCTGTATGCACATGCAGAGGTCACAACCCTAAGTGACTGTCATCACTCGCAAGGCATATGACGGCGCTCACAATGGCACTTGACTGCTCCGTCTTGGAGTGGTGTATGGCTCTAATGATATGCCTCTCAGCTTTATTGGTTTGTTTCTTCCCCTCGCCTTCTGCTCTGCTCTTCTCGCGTTCCATCTTCCTTCCCCTTCCTTCCCCTCCCTTCCCCTCCCTTCCCATCCCCTTCCTTCCCCTGTCCTAACTCTCTCCCCTCTCCCGTCCCCTTCTCCCCACGTTCCCATTCCCTCCCCTCCCCTTGCCCCCATCCCGCGCCCCTCATGCAGTCATGAGCTCCAAGCATCTGCGCGGTGATGCCAATTTCGCCTGGCCCTCTGCTGAGATCGCTGTCATGGGTGCCAAGGTATGCAGATCGGTGCAAAGGGAAGCAGATGGGTGGCAAGGCAGGCAGATGGGCGCCAAGGTAAGCAGATCAAGAATGCAAGAAGAAGATGCTGCATGGGCACACACGCTACACCCTCATCTGTGTGCCGTCACTTCCCCTTCACAGCGAGTTGAATTTTGAGTCGACTCAAAAGTCTTCACCCTCATCTGTGTCCCATCACTTCCCCATCACAGCGAGCTGCAAGTACCCTATGCGCGGGTGCAAGGGCAAAGAGGCATAGACACCAGACCAGAGTACCTGGAGAATGCTCAAAGACGATTCATGCGCACGACTTAACTTCTGAACCCTTGTCCCTCCTTGTGTCTCTGCTGCCTCATCACAGGGAGTGGCAGGCATCCCGTTCCGCGGGCAAAAGGGCAGGGAGCGCAGACTGCAGAGTGCATGGAGAATGCTCATGCAGAACCACTGTCCACCGCTTCTCACCCCTTTTTATTTCTCCCTCATCACAGGGAGCGGCAGGAATCATGTTCCGCGGGCAGAAGGACAGGGAGAAACGTACAGCAGAGTACATGGAGTAGGCTGATAGAAACTCCATCCCTGCCTGTGTCTCAACCCCCTCAATCCCACCACAGGGAGCAGCAGGAATCTTATTCCGCGGGCAGAAGGACAAGGAGGCCCAGACGGCAGAGTACGTGGAGAAGTTTGCCAACCCATACTCTGCTGCCAGCGCTGGGTTCGTGGATGCTGTTATCATGCCGCAAGACACCCGCAAGCTGCTGTGCCGCGAGCTCGACCGCCTCAGATCCAAGGTTAGATTCTGTGTTGACATGCTGGGTAGCCATGTCTTAGTGCTGGCTTTGAGGATGCTGTCATCATGCCTCATGACACAAGGAAGCCGCTGTGCCGCGAGCTCAACCACCTCCGAAGCAAGGTGTGTTGGCTTGTAGAATGTGGTTAGTTAGCATGTCCCAGCGCTGGCTTCGCGGACGCTGTGATCATGCCGCAGGACACGAGGAAGCTGCTGTGCCAGTAGCTCGACCGCCTCCGATCCAAGGTGGGTGTGCTGGGTCTGTGACTGGAAGGTGTGGGCCGTTGCTGTTGTGCTAAGAGATTCATGCTAAGGCTAAGGCAATCATGCCTCAGGACATGCTGAAGCTGCTGTTTTGAAAGCTGAACTGCCTCCAGAGCAAGTTGATGCTGCTCTTTTTCATCTTCTTTTTAAGAAACTACCTAGTTCCCGGTGGGAGTACCTCGCCTGTCTTTCTGCATCTTTGCATGTACCAGCAGCACTGTGTCTATGCGTATACATGTGTGTGTGCATGTGTGTCGTGAGATGAATCTTTGAGTCGCCTCTTAAAGTGCATATTTCTCCTCTGCCTCTGTGTATGCATGAACTTGTGTGTGGTTCCCTCACTCACCCCTGTTCCGTGCAACAGGAGCTCAAGAACCCCCCCAAGAAGCACAGGAGGGATGTGTGGGTCAGTTATACGGTACTGGAGTCACTCACTCATAAGTGTGTGTGGTTCCCTCACCCCTGTTTCGTGTAACAGGAGCTCAAGAACCCCCCCAAGAAGCACGACAACCTTCCCCTCTAAACACACAGTGCTGGGAGCACCCCTCCCACCCACCATTTATCACGTTCCCCAGCATCTTTAAACTCACCATGCCAAATGCCCCCACCATATATCCATCACCAGGCAAACCTGCCAGTTCCTGATGTCCTTCCCCACTTCTGCCATTGCTTATCCATTTAAGGTTCAACATTACAGTTGCCTTTGATACCGTAAAGTGCCACCTATAGGACCCGGGGGACTCTCTACAAATGCTTGAAAAAGTGCTAGGGGGACCCTCTGGCGGATGCAAAATTTTAAGACCCGGGGTACACTTATTTATCAACTATCATTCTGTTCTTTAGGGTGTACGGCTTAATTCGGGGCGGGGGGGTCTTATATTTATAACGAAAAACGGCATTCGTGGGCGGATTTCGCGCGAGCGGCGCGTCAGATCTGTGTCAGAATTCGAGTCTGACACAAACAAAGTGTCAGAATTCGAGTCTGACACAAAAAATCGTGTCAGAATTCAAGTTTCTGTCAATAAAAGCTGACTCACAATAGCAATTACAACTACTGTATACAGAAAAGGGGGGTCTTATGATGATTGGGGGCAGAAAGGGGGTCCTCACAAATCCTGCCCAAATAAGAGTCCCTCTGCTCCTTCAAGAGTCCCGGGGACCCTCTTACCGGCGGGTCCTATAGGTGGCACTTTACGGTATGCAGGAGTTCTCATTGTCGTGTCAAATCTCTATGCTCCCTTCATTGAATCAATCATTATTTTCACAGCTGAACCAATTTATGCAACACTTAACATGTACAGTGTAAACTTCGTTTTATGCACTTGTAGAACTACAGAATGAAACGTGTATCAAAAGTTTTTTTCATAACCATATTTGTTGAATGAACAGCACATTTATCAAAATTAAAGCTCAAGGCCCAAATTGCGGGCCGCGCTGAGCAAGATTACTAATCTTGCACAGCTTTTGTTTTGGTGCTGTGGTTTGGCGAATGTTGGGTTACGGTAAGTGCGAATGGATCTGATTGGTCGAGGGCAATCTCCCTGCAGAAACTTCAACTTTCAGTATTACACAATTTGGGACTCTCGGACCCAAACAGAATGTTTGCCTTGGTGTTTGCTGACTCAGCGATTGTTGCGAGAGCTCGTGCGAAATAAGTCAACCCCACCCTCCCAACACTTTCTTGACCAGCCCAAACCCTTGCGCAAGATTACTAACCTTGCGCAATTTGGGCCTTGAGCTTTAACACAAAATGATGGAATAGATTAACAACAAATTCTGTCTGCCATTCAATCCCCGGCTGTAACCAACCCTGATATGAGGTTTAGGATCTGCCTTTGAACAAGTTGCACCAATCAACACAACAAACAAAAAACATCTTGTTCCCAATTGCATCCCCTACGCAAGATCACCTCTTGTTCTACCATCAACCATGACAACCTGCTTCACCTGTTCCTCACCACCACTCTCTGCATCTTCCTCTGCCTCCCTATCCGCCTCCTCCCCTTCTACCGTGGTAATCTATCCCTCCTCGTCCTCATCGCAAAGCCCCCAGCCTCCATAGTTGTCCAAGCCATTCTCATAGTCATCTTCACTGTCCAAGCCATACTCGTGGTGAATATTCCAGTCCTCCCTTTTGCGCCTCAAAGAACGGGTTACTCCTCGTCCTCATCACTCGCCCCCCAGCCATCGTCATCCCCGCCATTTTCACTGTCCAATCCATACTCATGGTGAATTTCCCAGCCTTCACCACCGCTCTCTGCATCCTCTGCATCTTCCTCTGCCTCCTTGTCCACCTCTTCCCCTTCCACCGTGGTAATCTATTCCTCCTCGTCCTCATCGCTCGCCCCCCAGCCATCGTCATCCCCGCCATCTTCACTGTCCAAACTCGTGGTGAATATTCCAGTCCTCCCTTTTGTGCCTCAAAGAACGGGTTACTCCTCGTCCTCATCGCTCGCCCCCCAGCCTCCATCGTCATCCCCATCATCCTCACTGTCCAACCCATACTCGTGGTGAATATTTCAATCCTCCATTTTGAGGCGCCTAAAACAACGGGTTATCCTCCTCATCCTCATCGCTCGCCCCCCAGCCATCTTCATCCCCGTCATCTTCGCTATCCAGCCCATACTCATGTTGAATATTCCAGTCCTCACCATCACTCTCTGCATCCTCCTCTGCCTCCCTCTCCGCCTCCTCCCCTTCCACCGCCGCTTCTCCTTCTCCTCTCTCCTCACCCTCCGCCTCCTCCCCTCCTCTCCCATCCTCTCCTTCATCGACCGTCACCCCCTCCTCCTCTCCTTCCTCCTCTGCATCCTCCTCGCCCACCCGTGCGCGAATCCCCCTCCTGTCTGCCCGTGAAAGCAAAGGGCAGTCACTAACATCAAACGCAAAGTCGGCATTCTCCGGATGGAAGACGGCAGGTGAGCTAGATTTTTGCACACGATCACCAGCAGCACCTGTAGCTTAGGCAGCTTAGAGAATGACTCTGGCAAGCTGCGGAGATGCTTTAACCCCAAGAGAACCAACTCTTGGAGGGAAGATAGCTTCCAGAAGTTGACTGGAAATGTCGAGATCGCAAGCTTGGTGAAGGTACAGACTTGTAACTTGGACAGATTCCCGAAGGATCCTGGAAGTTTCTTCAGCTTGTCGCAGTCAATGATTTCCAGCGTCTCGAGCATTTTCAGCTGCCCGAATGACTCGGGCAGCTCCCGTATTCTTAAATAACGCAGTTGCAAGACCCTCAACGCTGACAGCCCTCCCAAGCTGGCCGGCAGTGCCTCAATCTTCAAGGCAAAATCGATTCGGAGCTTTTTCAGCTGCGAGAGTCGAGAGATGGACTCAGGGAGTGCTAAAAGGTTATCCATCTCTATGATCTTCAGCTTCGTTAGAGAGGAGAGCTGGCCAAGGGACGGGCCGATGGTTAGGAAAGGGAGAGACCTTATCTTGAGGCTTCGAACGGATGGAAGAAGTTTCCTGCTGCTGCTGCTGGCGGTGCTGTCGAAAATTACCGAAGGACCACCCTTGGTAGTGCGTTTCAGCACTATCTCATCTCCTAGTAACGCGCCAACCCCATCACATACCCGCACCTCCAACACCCTAACTCGGGGCAGCTCAACAAGCGACGCAGGGAGACGCTTCAGGGAGCCCATCCGTGCGATCCTGACCTCCTCAAGCGCCTCCAGCCGTCCGATCCCCTCAGGAAAATCCGGTACTTTAGGGCAATTGATAATTTCCAGGCTGGTGAGTGAAAAGACGCCTGAGAAGGAGGCAGGAAGGGCGGCTAGTCGAGGCATGCCTTGCAGCACCAACTCCTTGAGGCTTGTCAAGCAGCAGAAGCCGTCCAGTAGGGTGCCTCTGAAGCGTTTAGCTTGCACGATCTTGAGGGTTTCAAGGGACTTCAGGGCGGAGCAGGATGGAGGAAGGTGGGTGAGAGACGAGCAGTGCTCCAAATGCAGATAGAGCAACTGCTGCATACCGTTCCCCATTTCATCGGGCAGGACCGAGAGGTCCGGACAAATCTCGATTGTCAGGTGCTCGAGAGAAGAAAGCTGGGATAGGGTGTCAGGAAGTTGCTTCAGCTGCCTACACTCCACGATTTTCAGCTCCCGAAGAGCTGTCAACTGCCCGAGGGATTCGGGCAGGCCTGTGAGCTGGCCAAGGCTGATCAGGGGCAGCTTTTGAAGAGCAATCAGCTGCCCGAAGTTCTCGGGCAGTGACGACAGGTAGGAAAGGTTTCTGAGGGAGAGCTCTTGGAGCGTGGTAACCAGAGAGATTGAATCAGGAAGAGTTGTGAGCTCTTCCAACTCCAGCACGAGTGTCTGTAGCTTGGACAAGCGCCCAATATCGTCAGGCAGAGCTGATATTTCTGCCATGTGAAGCGTGAGACTGGTGAGTGAAGGCAGGCGGAAAAGAGACTCCGGCAGCGACGTTATCTCGATGCAGTTTTTCAAGATTAGACTCTTGAGCCGCCGAAGATGCTCCAGAGCCTCGATAAGGTCGTGCAGTCCCGTTACTTCTTCCATGATGAGAGTTTCGAGCCTCGACAGTTGAGTGAAATCGACGGGTGGCGGGAGAGAAAACTCGCAATCTCGAACCTCCAGGGCAGTGAGAGAAGAAAGTCCAGTGAGAGAGGCCGGCAGGCGCAACCTTGAAGAGTTGTTGAGAGAGAGACGGCTCAGACTGGAAAGCTGACCGAAGGATTCTGGAAACGACGCCAGGGAGCTGCACCCGTGCAGCTCAAGCGACGTTAGGAGAACCAGATTGCCGAATTCTTGAGGTAAGGCCTCGAGACGGGAAGCGTGCAGCACGAGGTTTTTGAGAGACTGCAAGGAGGTCAATGTGTCGGGAAGACGCGTGGCGCTTGTTTCGAGATGCAGGTTCCTGAGCAATGTGAGCCGTTCGATCGACGTAGGAATGGCAGCACGGAACGAACACTCCAAACGGAGATCTTCGAGCAGAGTACACGTCTGGAACAGAATATCCATGCTCTTCTCGCTTACGCCTGAGCGTCTGCATTCGCGTCCCATCGTCTCAACACTAAGCTCAGTTAGATGTGGACACACGTCGGCCAGGCGAGAGAATAGAAGGTTTGACGCTGAGGTGAGGCTGCCGAAGGAAAGAACTATTTTTTTTAGGTTAGAGTACGACGCCAGAAGTTGAACAAGGCGACGCGGATCCATGAGGAGGTTGTAAGGCAAGTGAATTTCTGGTTGCAAGCGGTACGCGATGTGACGCCATTGCTGGCTAACAAGTGCGTGCTCCAGCTGACCATCAGGTCGAACCAGAGAGCACAGAATCTGAGACAGCAGCTCCTCCGGTAGCCGTTGGATAGGCGACCCGACTGGCATCTTAAAACGAGGGACTACAAGAGGCTAATGGCTGTTCAGCTAGATAAGTCTGTCTTAGCTTCAAAGCTACATTTGCTAACAAGCCAGAGTTATGAGACTGAACGCTAGAAGAGGCCGACTACAAGAAGCATGGTGAGCAGGAGGATCAGTCGAGCGGCATCACATCCCAATCCAACCTCAAGGCATTCAAACAAACTCAGCTGGAGACCTTGGGATTGTCAGTGACACCGCGCTGCACCGCTTGTTTCATCAGACTATTCCCGCCAAAATGTTGCACGAACAAAAGGTTTGCGAAGAACAAAGAACGACGCAAAACGCACTCTGGCGATATCTTTTCCTGGCCGTGCGAGATTCGTGGCCCCTCCATTTGTGTTGCTGTGTGGACGTGCAGCACCCATTGGGATTGTCGCCCAATATTACCCGTTTGTAGGTGGCTTGCCTAGATTAATCGCCCAACAAACTGCAAGCACCCTTATCTTAAACATTCAACGACCCGATTTTAGGCTAAGATATTAGATCGTTGCTTTTCATATGTTCCAGCTGTTGGACTCGTGAATGTTACCCTAGCTAGCAAACGCCCATTGTGATAAATTCCAAGTCCTATTCTCCAATACCCACTTGTCACCGCATAAAAAACGTAAATTTTAATGTTATCTCCATCTTGTTCTTGTACACTGTGACACTGTCCCCTTCATTGCTGAGACCTCCCTTCCAGCACTCAGCAACTGTACTTTCCAATTTAGTCACCCGTGCATACTAGCATACCATCTGGGCCCTCTTGTCAGAATGAAGAATGGATGGTGCATTGATGTTGGTTGGGGTACATATAGCTAACCCTAAGTTTTGTACCCCCTAAGACAAACCTCACTATAGGCTACAACATTTGACACACCCCCATAGCCTAAGTGAGGGGTGTCTAGCAGAACCAAACGAGTACGGTCACAAGACCAGTCCAAGAAACGAAGCTCAGGGTGGATCACAACGTCACCACACAGTCTGAGCACAAACAACAGTGGCCACAAGGCCAGTCCAAGAAGTAACAGAGATATATAGAAAGCAAAGTAAACAGTACACTCAAGTCTAAGCAACACGAGAACCAGTGTCAACAAGGCCTAACTGCACATAGCACCTCTGGTGGTCACAAGGCGGAAGCGCCTTGGTGAAGATGTCTGCAGTGTTGGCCTCGGACTCCACAAACTCAAAGCGAGCCTGTCCACGCCTCTGCAACTCTCGCAGAAGAAAGTACCTGACGTGAATGTGCTTCACTCTGCTCTCCAGTCGTGGCTCTCGACAAAGGAGAATAGACGCCTTGTTGTCAGTGAACAAGGTCGGTGCAGAGCTCGGCCGCTCACCAAGGTCGGTGAGCAAGAAGGTCAACCAACGCAGCTCCTGTGCCGCCATGGCACCAGCGTAGATCTCAGCCTCAGCTGTAGAGGTCGAGACCGAAGAGGAGCGCGTGGACCGCCAGGAAACAGCTCCAGAACCCAGGCTGAAACAGTACCCCTGAGTAGACCTGTGAGTCTCAGCGTCGTCAGCGTAAGAGGAGTCACAGTGACCAGTAAGTGCGACAGACTGCTGCCCTCCAAGAACTAGCCCCACGCCTGACGTCGTCGCTAAAAAACTTCGCCACCCTCACAGCTGCTGTCCAGTGAACAGGACGGTGTCTCCCTGGCGCAACAAAGCGCGCAAGAACGCTGAGAGGGAAGGCGAGGTCCGGGCGAGTACAAGTCATCAGGTACATGAGGCAACCCACAAGCTCTGCGTAGGGACCACTAGGCTCGAACGGCTCGTCAGGAAAGGGTCCAGTGAGTCTGTGGTCAACAGCAAGAGGTGTGCGCTGTACTGTGGAGTGCTGAAGCCCGAACCGCTGAAGGACCTGCTGCACCATGTGCGACTGTGAAAGTGTAATGGTGCGAGCAGCTCTGTCCCTGGTGATCTGCAGGCCAAGGTAGTGGCGCAGCTCACCAAGATCAGTGCAGGTGTGTCTCTTCTGCAGTTCGGACTTCACGTGTGCCAAAGCAACCCTGTCAGGGGTGGCGAAAACAAGGTCGTCAACGTAGACCAGAACAAAGAAAGGTGTGGGGCCACGACGAACGAACAGCGACGGGTCAGCAGAAGACGGCTGGAACCCAAGGTCAGACAGGGTAGAACGCAGGGTGTCGTGCCACTCACGAGGAGCCTGACGAAGACCGTAAACCGGTCGCCTCAGCCTCCACTGGGTCCCAGGAGGGAAAGAGCCAGTGAAGGCAGAGGGACGACGCAACCAGACCTCCTCGTGAAGACTGCCCTGAAGGAAAGCAGTAGAGAAGTCGAGAGAGTGTAACTCGTAGTCTCTCTGTGCTGCTACGTGTAGTAACACCCGAAGAGTGGTCATCTTCGGGGTGGGCGCGAAGGTCTGAAAGAAATCAACTCCCTCGCGCTGACTGAAACCTCTAGCCACGTAGCGCGCCTTGAAGACCGGAGGAGATCCCGGTGGCCGCTTCACCCTGTAGATCCACATGCCGTCGACTACGTTCGCCCCCGGAGGGGGAACCTCATCGACGTAGGTGCCTGTGGATCTGTAGGAGGCCATCTCTGCGTCCATGGCAGCTCTCCACTGAGAGGCCCAAGGTCCTGACACTGCCTCAGCGTAAGTGCGAGGAGTCGGAATGTCAAGGGCGTCGGGGTCACCCTCAGGGGCGAGGAGCATGGCACAGAGATGAGGGGAAGCGGCGGCCAGGAACTCTAGCTCAAACTGCCTGTCCTCTAGGGCGTCACAGCCAAGGGCAGACACACCCCCGACGGCCAGAGGACTGGAAGGAGGAGCAGCCACAAGAGTGGTGGCGAAGTCAAGGCGGCGGGTAGAGGCAAACTCAGTGACTGCAGCAGTAAGAGCGGACACAGAGGACACAGAGGCACGAGGGTGGGTAACAAGAGAGGCGAGAACACGAGAGAGAACAGGACGGTACGTGCGGTAGTAGTCAGTGACAGGAGAAGGAAGCGACACAGTGAGGGCCGACTCAGGAGGAGACGGAAGCACAGACGGAGACGGACGAGGTGGACGAGAACAAAGGAAGGCTGTACGAAGGTCAGTGAAGGGAACAGGAGACGAGGGACGAGCACGAGGGGAGCGACGAGAGGCCCAAGTCTGAGAAGGAGGAGGAGACAACGAAGACTGAGAACGAGGGAAAACAGCGGGAGAGGGGTCAGGAGGAGGAAGCGGAGGACCAGAGACGGGAGGAGAGGGGGAGGAGGAAGGAGAGGGAGAGGGGAGACCAAGGGTCCGAAGACCCGAGACAGGAGGAGGAGACGGCAGCAGCTGCTGCTGCTGCTGCTGCTGCTCCTGCTGCTGCTCCTGCTGCTGTCGCTCCTGCTCCTCGAGCCGCTGCAACTCTCTCTCCTCTCTCTCCAACTCCAGCTGCTCCTCACGAGCACGGCGAACACGAGCCTGGAACCTGGTCGGGTAGGGGTGGGGGGAAGGAGTAGTGTCCGGGGCAGCGGCAGCCCCAGAGTCGACCTCCGAAGCACCAAGCACACCACCCCCAGAGGCAGCACCAACACCAGCTCCAGACCCAGGCCCTCCAGAAACCGAAGGGACACCCTCACCCCCAGACGCAGCACCCCCAGACTCCGCACCAGCACCCCCAGACTCCGCACGACCAGTACCAGCCCCCGGAAGACAAGAGTCCTCTGCAACCCGCGGCTCAGCTCCAACTCCAGCACCCCCAGAACCAGAGACCTGTACAGGGACAGTCGCAGGACCAACCTCCCGAGAGGGAGCACCTGCAGGAGGCGGCGAGGAAGACTGTGGGGAGGGAGGCTGTACAGGGGGGGCTACCGAAGGGGGAGGGCTAGCCTGAGACACACCAGACGGGGCTGGACCAGGGGGGGGAGGCTGTACCGGGGGAGCAGGAGGGGGAGCGGCGGTCAGGAAGAGAGGGGGGGGAGGGACCGGGAGACCTCGACTGGGGTACCTGACGTAGTAGGGGGTGGACTCCTCGAAACGGACGTCACGGGAGTCAAAGAACCGGTGAGAGGGAGGGTGGTAAAAGGTGAAGTCAGAGGAGTCCTCAGGGAAACCAAGGAAGACACAAGGAACGGCGCGAGGCGAGAGCTTGTCCGCGGAGGTGTCGCGGACAAGAGCCAAGCACCCCCAGACACGAAACCTCGACGCGACACCAGGGGACCCTGTCCAAAGACTGGTCGGTGAAGCCTCCGGCCGAGAGACGCGTGGCCAGAGGTTCAGCTGGTGCGCGGCGTACCTGACTGCGTATGCCCCCAGGAAATGGGGGGCACGGGCGTGAGTCAAGGAGGTGCGGGCAATCTCCATGACCAGGCCTATGCGACGCTCAGCAACCCCATTCTGCTGTGGGGACTCCGGAAGCGTCCAGGACTGACGAATGCCCTGTTCGCGACAGAATCCAGCGAGAATGCCGGAGCGAAACTCGCCCCCGCGGTCGGAGTGGAGACAGCTGACACGACGACCACGAGTGTCCTGCGTGGTAAGCAACCACCTGATCAGCGTAGAAGTCACCTCAGACTTCCTCGCCAGGGGGAACACTGTGGTGTAGCGGGAGTAGTCGTCAACGACCACCAAAAAGAAACGCTCACGCTCAGGGCCAGGGCGAGGAGAGGGGCCCCAGACGTCCAAGTGCAGCGTCTCAAAAGGCTCGGTGGCCGGACGAAGGGAGGAGGAGTGAGGGGTGGCGCGCAGCCTACCCTCGACGCAAGGACCGCACGGTGGTGCAAGAGACGGCGGCAGCGACGGCAAGACACGCGGGAGACCTAAGACAAGACGCTGACGAGACATAGCGCGAAGACGAGGAGGAGAAGGGTGCCCCAGCCGGTGGTGCCACAAAACGGTGGGGTGGGCAAGCGACCGACAGGAGCACGACGCAGCGACCGGACTAGACGGAGGAACCTGACAAGACACAGCTACCTGGGGGGACGGAGCAACCTGGTGAGACGCGAGGACTCGAACGGGGGGCAAAACAGGGGCCGGGGGCAGGAGGGGCGGCTGTGGCTGCGGCTGCTGCTGCTGCTGCTGCTGCTGCTGCTGCGGGTGCTGCTGCTGCTGCAGTCGCTGCTGAGCGCGCGGGCCAGTGTGAAGAGTGTAGAGACCGGAGCCCGGCTCAGCAGCAAAAGTGGCGAGAGGCTGGTAAGAGTCCCCGTCAACACACACCGCAGTCTCTCCAGAAGGCTCAAACCACACACCCACGTGCTGACTCACGAGGGGTCGCACGCCCACCAAGTTCCGGGAGAACGAGGGGACGTGAAACCCAGTGAGAGACCCAGAAGGAGCAGCCGGACACGGCAAGGTGGTAGTGTGACGCGCGGTGACTGGTCCCGAAGTGGGATCAGCCAGCGCCACAGAAACAGGCGCAGGAAGAGGCGTAAGTGTCGTGCTGTCACGAAAGAAGCAGTGAGAGGCTCCAGAGTCCAGCGTGAACGACAGCGAACCGTCCTCTGAGGTAGCCGCTGGACTAGAGTCTACACAAGAACCTACACTAGCAACAGGCAACTGAGCAAGGCTAGCACCTAAGCTAACAACACCAGAGTAAGCAGAGTCAGAAACACTAGAGTCAACAACAGCATACATAGCATGGGGAGTACCAATCAGATCAACTAACTGCTCAGCAGACATGGCCCACAGAGCGGAGCCGTAGCGCTGAACAAGAGGCAGCCAGTCAGGGGCAGGAGCACCAACCCCGTAGACCAAACGAACCGTGTCAGTGAGCTGAGCAAAGCACTGACCAGGGGGGTGAAACCGGCCACAAGGGTGGCCACGACGAGTGCCTGTCAGAACCTGGTAGGTGCAGGGAGTGTAAGCAGCACCGCGCTGGGTCTGACGCAGCCCCGACCCTGGAGCCAGCTGCTGCCGCTGCTGCTGCTGAGGCTGCTGGGAGGAGAGGGGCTGCTGGTGCTGCAGAAGCTGCTGCTGACGCTGAGCCTGGTACCACGCCGCTGCTCCGCCAACCGGGGCAGGAAGTACAGGAGGCGACTGACGAACTCGGGCGTCGCCACCACCAGCAGGCGCAGTGGAGTCACCAGTCACTGCACGAGGCGCCTCTCCAGGCCCTGAACCTCCACCGCCGCCAGGCGCAACGCCACCTCCACTACCTCCGCCTCCACCTCCACTACCACCACCAGAACCGCCTTTCTTGCCACTCCTACCGCGGGACCGCGACGCAGTCGTAACAGCAGCTGCAGTCGCGTCAGTAGCGGCAGTGGCAAGTGAGGCAGTAAAGGTGGGTAACTGCGGGACTGTGCACCCGTGGAAGAGTGGGGGGGGCACAGCACCAGAGGCAGCGGCTACCGAGCGAAGGTTGCTCTCGACGTCCTTGAGTGCAGACTCAAGGACCTCGACGGTGAGCTCACTAGGGTGCTTCAGCAGAAGCGCGTCGCGAACGGAGGCAAGGCGGTCAGGGAGGCTAGTGGCGATGAAATAGATAGTAATCGCCATAGGGGGAGGAAGCAGTGCAAGCTGTGCCTCAGTGCAAGCAGCGCGGTAACTAGCGTCGAGCGAGCGGAGGTGAGCGATCAAGTCAGCAGAGCGCTCAAAAGACGCTAGGTCAGGAAACAGGAACGGGAGGAACAGGCGGCCAAGAGAGACAGCAGCGGGAGTAGAGTAGCGGGCCTTAATCGCAGTGAGGTACGCAGCAGCGGTGCGAACCTGAGTGAAGTGAACCTCCTCAGACTCAGGGAGGAGGCTGCTGAGCGCGATGCAGGCCGCAGCGTCACGTGACGTCCAAGCCGTCTGGTCAGCTCGCTGAGTGGCAAAGCGGGCTCTAGCGGCGTCGTCAGGGGCAGGTCCTAAAGGCGTAGGGTCGGGGGGCGCAGGTAGGGCACCAGTAGCGTGCGCCCAGAGGGTCTCGCCTGCCTGGACCTGACTCTCTAACAGACGGCGAGCACGAAGAAGCCAGACGGAAAAATCAAGAGGTCTACCGTCAGCGTCGAAACGAAGGACACGCTGAGTCGCCATAGTGAAAACGAACGCGAACGGAGAGGGAGGGGACAGCAGTAGGTGAGAGGCAAATTAGGGTTCGGCGGTACTCTGGGACAGGGGAGGTAACAGGGGACTAAGCAGCGGGGAACGGGAACGGGCGCAGCGGCGGGCGATGGCAGCGCGCTCGGCAGAAGAGGCCAGCAGCGCGCGCAGCGGGCGACGGCAGGGGGGGGCAGCGGCGACGCGCGCAGCGGCGGGCGACGACGGCGGGGCCGCGGCGAGGCGCGCAGGGGGGGAAAGGGGCGTGACGGGGAGAAAGGGACGCGACGGGGGGAAAGGGCGGCGGGACGCGACGGGGGGGAAGGGACGCGATGAGGGGGGAAAAGGGGGGGAGGACGCGACGGGGGGAAAGGGACGCGACGAGGGGGAAAGGGCGGGCAGGACGCGACGGGGGGAAAGGGACGCGACGAGGGGGAAAGGGCGGGCAGGACGCGACGGGGGGAACGGGCGCGACACGACGTGGGGGAACGGGCGCGACGCGACGGGGGGAAAAGGCGCGACGCGACGGGGGGGAATGGGCGGCGACGCGATGGGGGGAACGGGCGCGACGTGGGGGGGGAACGCGACGCGACGGGGGGTAAGGGCGGGCGCTACGGAACGAGGGGAACGGGTGGCGCGGACGGGCGCTAGGATTGGCGCTAGGCTCGGCACTACGCGCGGTAACAACGGAACCGGGACGAATGAGAGCTAGGATCAGGCTCGGGAGGCTCGAACGGAGAACGGAGGAACGGGATCCCACAGGATCCTAACCTAACTGATACCATGTCAGAATGAAGAATGGATGGTGCATTGATGTTGGTTGGGGTACATATAGCTAACCCTAAGTTTTGTACCCCCTAAGACAAACCTCACTATAGGCTACAACATTTGACACCTCTGTGCTTGTACTTTCGCCCTTATTCAACCAGCTCTCCCTTTTCCATCATACCACCCCCTCGCTTCTGGCCTTCTGAACCACACACGTACATTCAACCTCAACACGTTCGACCAGACCCCTCACCCAGTCACCTCACCACATCATCCCTCAGCCCTCTGTACTGCTAGTGCACCCACCTTCAGCTCGTTAGACCAGCCCACTACCCCTGTCACCAGGACATGCCATCTGACCCTCTATACTCGTACATCCAGCCCATGGATTGCTCCATCCTGCACCTACCTGCCCCCAGTAGTAACCATATCATGCCCGTCACATAACACTGCCAGCCTGCCTACCAGGACATGCCCTCTGGCCCTCTATACCTGCACATCCAGTCCATAGATCGCTACATAGCAACCTGCGGAGTGAACTGCAATACAGCCTTCACCCCCAACCCACTGCCCTGTCACCAAGACATGCCCTCTGGCCCTCTGTACTTGTACATCCAGTCCATAGATCGCTCCATAGCCGACTGAGGAGTGAATTGCAATAGCCCCTGCTGCAAGCGCTGCACGAGCGGGTTGTAGCTCGTCTGCCACTGCCCTGTTCGCCTCGACACTACAATCATGCGCCTCACCCGCGCCTCCCTTGCTGCTGCGTACGCTGCTAGCGCCATCGGCACTGCTGCTGCTGCTTCGTCCCGCCAGGTGTAGACCGCACTGGGACTTCTGCTGCTGGTAGTACCTTCCGTGCTGCTCTCACTGCTGCTGTCACTGCTGCTTCCAGTGCAACTGCTGTCGCTGCTTCTGCTGTGCTGCGTGGTTGGGGCGATACAGTACTTAGTTAAAGCCCGAGCCAGCACAGCCGCGTCTTCTATCGCGCTGTTTGCCCCCTGGTTCACAGTCGGCAGCATGGCATGAGCCGCATCACCCATCAGAACCACTCTGTTATCCCCTCCAACCACTACCCGCCCCTCCACCTTCCCTCCCCCTCCTCCCACGCTCGGCGCCCCCCCTACCCACGGCGCATCCGCGGGCAGCTCGAAAAACCCAATTTTTACTGCCCGAACGGTCCGGGAGAACATCGCATGCGCATCGTACGGATGAAACCAGTTCCACATGTCGTCCATCCCCTTCAAAGCATCACTCGGTGTCCACATAGCGAGGTTGTCTGCAGTAATCAACTCCTGTTCGGACAAAAACCAGTACTGTTTATCCCGACCCATGCTCCAGGTGCCGTAGACCTTGCCTGGCCCGAGCACCCAGTAGGCGCTGCCTTTGATCCAGTCTGAGACGGAAGAGGTGACTCCGAGGATGCAGGAGATGCCACTGTAGGCTGCTGATCCGCGGCTTGGCTTGCGGTCCTGAGAGGGAGAGAGGGAGAGAGTGAGTGAGTGAGAGTGCTTGAGTGAGAGTGTGTGAGTGAGTGTCTTTATTTGTGTGTATCAGGTGTACATGTGTGTGAGTGAATGAGTCCAGGTGAAAGTGAGTGATAGTTTGAGCGGCTGATAACGGATGCTGACATGGCACGACATCACTCACATGCGGGGGATGATGTGGCATGACAGCACTCACATGTGGGTCATGACGTGGCATGACATCACTCACATGTGGGTCATGACGTGGCATGACATCACTCACATGTGGGTCATGACGTGGCATGACAGCAGAACGGACGGCTGATTTCACCCCATCTGCTCCCACCACCACGTCCCCCACCTCACATGTGCCATCCTCGAAATGCACTCGCACGCCTGGTGGGGGTGGGAAAGAAAGGGAAATGGGAGGACTAGTAACCTGACAAGAAAGGATAAGCCATGTCCCACCCACCACATCGCCCACCTCACACGTACCATCCTCGAAATGCACCCGCACGCCTGGTGGGGGAGAAAAGGAGAGGAAGGAAGGTAGGCAGGTAAACAAGAGTGCGGGACGAGTGCTCCCACCCACCACATCGCCCACCTCACACGTGCCATCCTCGAAGTACACTCGCATGTTTGGTGGGGGAGAAACGGAAAGAAGGGACAGAGGCCTATTGACTGACAACTGGCACACCCAGTGACAGCTGGCATGCCCAGTGACAGACAGCTGGCGTACCTTTCCCCGGCCCAAGGTTCTGCACGGAGATGCACTTTTTGTTGAAAAGGATTGGTGGTACGGATGCTGACTCAGCGCCTGACATGACCTCGTGCACCAGCAGGCCCTGCCACGTGGCACAGGGAGGTGGAGAAGGGGAGCGGAGGGGGAAGGAAGCGGCAAAGGAGGTCAGGAAGGGTGGAGAGGAGGAGGAAGTTCAGGTGGTGGGCGGGAAAAAAATAACATGGGATAAATTATCATGGACATGGGGCCTTTCTTCCAACCTAATGCAAGCTTTGCATTAGGATGATAATGCATTAGGTTGCATTAGCTTTCATCCTGACCCCCCCCATTCCCCTTCTCCTCTCCGCCTACGCACCTGCAGCTCTGCTCGCTCCAGGGCCATCATGGGGTAGGTAGCCGTAGTGCCGAGACATGAACGAGTGGTCAAAGGTGCGAAGCTCACAAGTGCAGGTGGCTATGTGGCACCGTGAAACTGCCCCTGAAGCCTCGTGTTGCACCGTGGAATTGCCCCTGTATCTTTGTGTGCCTCTTCCTCTGACTCACCTGCAGCTCTGCTCGCTCCAGGGCCATCATGGGGTACCCGTAGCGCTTGGACATGAATGAATAGTCAAAGGTGCGAAGCTTCTTGCCACTTTCCGTGTATGTGTGCAGCGAGGAGATGGGCCCACTCAGGTTCTGCAGAGCGGGAGGAAAGAAAGAGAGAGACGTATCAATGAAAGTTAGAATGGGTTAAGAAAGTAACAACGTGCCAAGAACGTATCGGTCATTTGGAAACGTAATCATGACCGAGACGATGTTCAGAACGTGACACTGCAGTTCCACAGTTCCACCTCCCCCAGCTTCACCTCCCCCGGATCCACCTCCCCCAGTTCCACCTCCCAATGTTCCACCTCCCCTAGGATGTGTTTCCCTCACCTGAATCTTCTCATCCCATCCAGCCCAAGACCGTCCAGCAAGCACAACCTATTGGCTCCCAACAACAGTCTCTCCCACGCTGTATTTCCCTCACCTGGATCTTCTCATACAGCCCCAATCCGTCCAACTCGTGCAGCCCATTGCCGCCCAGTGAGAGCCCGCCTCTTTGATCCACATCCCAAGTTTTACCTCCCCCGGGTCTACCTCCCCCAGGCCTTCTTTCCCCTCACCTGGATCTTCTCGTACAGCCCCAGTCCGTCCACCGCGCGCAGCCCATTGGCGCCCAGCGAGAGCCAGCCTCTCAGATCCACCTCCCCAGTATTACCTCCCTAAATCGACCTTTCCTAAATCCACCTCCCCCAGTTCCACCTCCCCCAAATCCACCTTCCCTCTCCCAGTTCCACCTCCTCCACTTCCCACCTTCCCCAAACTGTGCTTTCCTCACCTGGATCTTCTTGTACAGCCCCCCAACCCATCCAGAACGCGCAGCCCATAGGCGCCCCAGTGATACCGAGTTGCATTCCTTCCCCAGCTCTACCTCCCCTCAAGCGTTGCTTTCCCTCACCTGGATCTTCTCGTACAGCCCCAACCCATCCAACACGCGCAGCCCATTGGCGCCTAGCGGAAGACTCGCGCCGACCGCCTGGATCTGCCTCCTCCAGTTCTACCTCCCCCAGTTATACCTCCCCCTCTCGATCCTGTGTTCTCATCACCTGGATCTTCTCATACAGCCCCAATCCGTCCAACACGCGCAGCCCATTGGCGCACAGCGACAGACCCGCGCCGGCCGCCTGGATCTCCCTTCCCCAGTTTTACCTTTCCCGTGCCTCCCCTCACCTGAATCTTCTCATATAGCCCGAGTCCGTCCAAAACCCGCAGCCCATTGGCGCACAGCGACAACCCCGCGCCAACCGCCTGGATCTGCGGCGCCTGCTCGAACACCGTCGTCTCAAACAGCGACTCGGCGGGCGACGCGGGGGGTAAGGGCGCGGCGGTGCCGGCAGCGGCGGCTGTAGCGGAGGGGGAGGCGGCGGCTGTAGCGCGTTGGAGGATGGCGGGGAACGTGCGGGCAGTGATTTGGCGGAGCGCGAGGGAGAGCGTGCAGCCGCCGATGCCGGCACCGACGATCAGGACGCGAAGCTTGCGCATTGTGACTAAAGCACGAGGTGACTATAGCGCGATGTGACTATAGCGCGAGGTGACGGGAGCGGAATAGCGTGAACATATAGGAAGTTGACTACCCTGACGGTTCGCTCGTCGTAATGAACGCTGGGAACAGGAACGACGCTGGATACAGATGGAACTACCTAGATCAAGAGACCTGGGAAGGCATACGCGACGCGTTTTCTTTTCTTTGTTTGATATGACTAAATGTCAAAGAGGAGAAAGGATCCGAGTCAAGCGATCATGGTGATCGTGGCAATGGATAGTGGTGAGGGCGAGGGTGATGTAACCCGGTTACAGGTCACACTGGAAGCCTGATCGAAGCAACCAGAGCTCCAGGCATTGTCATAGCTCGAGGCGAGAACAGCAACAAAAGCTGAAGTGCCGACGATAGGATGACGCGGATGAGGTATGGTGCCGAGAACGCAAATCAGGATGCCCAAACCGAGATATGAGACATCCCAAAACTCGACGAGGGGAAGGTGGGACCGGACCAGAATGAGAGACAGCCAAATCCGCGATGACGAAGTGGAGCTGTAATGTCGGCTGGAGTTTCAAAAATCTCGCCTAGAAAATGGGAAGCTCGAGAAACATGCCAAGCTCGAGGCAGACAGAGCCCAAGGTGAAGGAATTTGACATATCAAACCAGACTGCTGGTAAATTCGCGATAAAAGTCGATCGGTTTTGAATCCTTGACTACTTGTCCAAATCTTCTGCTTTTACATATACCGTTTATGTAAGTTGTGAGGACTATAAGCAATGTGAATGGAATCATAGGTTAAGTATCTACAGGCGTGTAAAACAATACCTATTCAAAAATTTTGTTGTTTTTGGTAGGGTAACCAATATCATCATCACTTTCAAGACGATGTCGATGGCATGGATATTGATGATGCTGATGTGGACGATGCAGATGTTGGTGATGCTGCTATGGACGGTACAGATGTTGATGATGCTGATGTGGACGGTGCAGATGTTGATGATGCTGATGTGGACGGTGCAGATGTTGATGGTGACGATGTCAATGATGCACAGGGGCTTTGGAACCCAGAACCAGGAGCCTCTTCCATGGGCGGCCCATGGCCCAAAGCGGACCCTCTTCTTCCACCATCCACAAATATACACACACTGTTGCCATACCGCCTCCCCCCCACTTCACCCCCATTTTCTTCCCCTCCATCCTCCATCCCTTCCTCCTCCACCTCCTCATCCCCTTCCTCCATCTTCCCTTTCCCTTTTTCTTTCCTCCCTTTCTTTCCCTTTTTCCCCTTACCCATACCCTCTTCATAACCCCCACCAGGAAAGGCCCAAACCGCCCCACTTCCATGCCTTTCCCCCACCCCATTCCTCTGCGCCCCCCCTTCCCCAGCAGCAGCGGGATCCGGGGGGAGAAGAGAGGGGGAGGCGGGTGGGGGAGGGGGGAGGGCCTTGAGAGCGGAGTGTAGGAGGGAGAAGGGGAGGGCGAGGGCGGGGAGCAGCACACCGGAGCGATGAAGGAGAGCTAAGGTGATAAGAGCTGGGGGAAAGCGGGAAGGAACAAGGATGGGGGAAGGGGCAGATGGGGGTGGGGGAAGTGTCATATAAAATGGTTGGTTCACAAGGGGAAAAAATAAGAAAAAAACCAACGTGCCTTTTTCAGTGCATACGACACTTGAGTATGCAGACAGGTAAATTTGCACGAATGACAAGGATAACAGTAATAGGCAATCACACCGTGGACAGGTCTACCTGCGAGGATGATTAGGATGACTGCTATGGCTTCAGCAAAGCGAACCCAGCAGGCATGCGCGAGAAAGCAGGCTATGATGAAGAGGCAAGGCCAGCCCTTCAGACTGCGAACAGGCCTACCTGCGAGGATGATGAGAATGACTGCAATGGCTCCTGCGAAGCGACCCCAGCAGGCGTGAGTGACAAAGCAGGCCATGTTGAAGAATGAAGGGCAGGCGAAACTGGGTGGAAGGGAGGGACAGGAGAAAGGAGATGGTGTGTGGAGAGGCAGGGGGGTGGGCAGCGACCCGAGCAGACATGCGTGGGTGACAAAACAGACCATGCCAAAGAATGAAGGGCAGGCGAAACTGGTGTGTGGAGGAAGGGATAAAAAGGAGGACAGGGCGTGTGGAGGGGTGGAGGGGGGCAGAGGGGGGTAGAGAGGGGCAGAGAGGGGCAGAGAGGGGCAGAGGGGGAGAAGAGGGTGGTGTTGAGGATAGCCTAGCCGTCTGACTGCCCGCTCTGCCTGTCTGTTACCACCACCCACCCACCTGCAAGTGCTGTCACTTGAATGCGGGGAGGAGGAAGATGAGGAGGAGCGCGAGGGGAGAGGGGTGTTGAATTGCGGATAGCCTTGCCGTCTGTCCGTCCGCTGCCTGTTAGTCTCTCAGTACCAACCACCCACAGGCAAGTGCTGTCACTTGATCGCGAAAAGGAGGAAGAGGAAGAGGAGGAGCCTGGTCGTGGGGAAAAGAGAGTTGTGTTTTGGATGGCCTTGCTGTCTGACTGCCCGCTCTGCCTCTCCCCCAGTAATAACCACCCACCTGCAAGTGCTGTCACCGGAACGCGAGGAGGAAGAGGAGGAGGAGGAGCCTGGTCGTGGGGTAAAGAGCGTGGTGTTTTGGATGGCCTTGCCGTCCGACTGCCCGCTCTGTGCTCCACGGTTGTCCACCGTGGCATTGGTGGTGAACGCGAGGGGCGCCACGTCAGCGACTGATGAGATGGCGTCATATAGGACCACTGGGGGAGAGATGAGGGAGGAAGAGGGAAGGAGATGTGATGCAAGGTGCATGGGTCCCAGCGCGTGGTGCATGGGGCACAGCGCATGGGGCACAGCGCATGGGGCACAACGCATGGGGCATGCTGCATTGCTGGGAGGCCTCCCACCAAGACAGGAGCGCTGGGAAGCAAACGTTCTTGGAGCTGCAGCAGAGAGGTGAAGCCTGCTGCTGGTGCGACCAAGGCACACTGTGAGAGGTAACTTCAGAGCCGCCTCAAAATGCATCTCACCAAGGCAGGAGTGCTGGGAGGCGAGGGAGTCCTGAAGCTGCAGCAGAAAGGTGATGCGTGCTGCTGAGTCGACTGAGGCACACTGTGAAAGGCAACTCACAAGAACAGGAGCGTTGAGAGGCATCTTACCAAGGCAGGATCGCTGGGAGGCGAGGGAGTCCTGAAGCTGCAGCAGAAACGTGAAGCTGGTTGTTGCGCCCGCTGCAATGCTGCGCTCCTGTGCCTGGCGGGAGGGGGAGGAAGACGAATGGTAGCCACAAAGAAGCAATTCGGAGGATGTTCTTTAGCACGGTATATGCTTTCGGTGCGGAATGGGGAGCGCATAGGAAGATGAAAAAGACGAGTTTTGAGTCGACTCAAAAGAAGCATATTGTAGGAGATCCTACGCACAGACTTGAGGAGCATTTTTGAGAGGTACCAAGATTTGAGGAGGAAGGAGGACGAGGAAAAAGTACCAGGATTCAAATGCATTTAAAGAGGAAGGAGGAGCGCTTAGGAAGACGAAAGCGAAGTGGAAAGGAGGAGCGCTTAGGAAGATGAAAGCGAAGTGGAGGGAAGGGCAACGAGAGCGGGGAGAAGGACTGTCGAAGAGGAGGACTCACTGGTATAGGGAGAACTCCAGAGGAGCAATTCTGAATCTGCAAGCAAAGGGGTATGATAAGGGAAGTATGAAAGAAGGAAAGCATACGAGGGAGGTGTGAAAAAGAGAAGGCAGTTGGGATGAGAAGTGACTGGTGGCATACAGACAGCAAAGTTGTAAATTGAATATAGTGTGTTCTGAGCGTAGAGTATGTGCACTGAACGTGAATGTACACTGAGACCTTACAGTGCCATTTTGCACTGATAGCATCTGATGTGTGAAGTGAATGTGAAGTTAATGTGAAGTGAATGTGAAGTGAATGTACCGTAAGAGTGAAGTCCGCGTCAAGGGAGCCATTGTTGGCAATCCGAATGTCCACTCTGCCCTCACTGGACATGGCTTCAAACAGCGGCGCCAACACTGACACTATGCGACCGGGGCTCCTGTGGAGGGAGGGAGGAGAGGGGGAAGCACGGGGACGGGGAAAGGCGTATGGAGGAAAAAGAGATAGAGTTGGCACTTTCCCCCTTATCTTCAAAGGCAAGAAAGCAAGAAAGAAGTGCAAAAGCAAGGCGTGAAGCTGGCACTTCCCCTTTTCTCTGGAGGTTAAACTCAGGCGGTACCAACACCCACCTGTCTCTCATGAAGGCCCTGTTAGCACCCACGTCTTCCCTATGAAGGTGACATCAGCACGCGGCTGTTCTCTAAAAACATGATGTCAGCAACCACCTGATGTTTATGAAGGTGATGTCAGCACCGACTGCTTTTTATATACATTGCACCAGCACCCACCTGTTCTTGATGAAGGTGACGTCATCAGCAGCAATCTCGAGGGTGATGAGCGAGTTGAGTCGTTGAGTCACCACCAGGGCGATGCTGAGAGAGCCGTTGGGCTGGACGGGATGCGGTTTAGTGAGGTGGAATGGGGTTCAATCGGGATAAAAAGGGAAAGGCAAGGACAGTGTCGGGCAGGAGACTTGAGTGGCTGAGTAAGGACCAGGACAATGCTGAGAGATCGGAGGCGTATAATGGGGATGGGAGAAAGAAGGCATGTGGTCGAAGCGGGTGCAATTGGGCAAATACTTTCTTATTGGGGGTTTACTCAAAAGTGACCTCGTTGCAATTGGGCAAAGGAAAAATGAAAAAAAAAAAAAAGAAATCGAGAAGGGAAGGAAAAAAAGGAAGCGGGTCTGCTGGGAATAAGAAACTATCACACAGCTGCGCAATAACTAATCGCATATAGCGTTCGCCGGCGGTGCAATCTCTTGAAAAGAGACCCTAGTATAGTAGGTTATATGGTGACGTCAAAAACAAAACTCACACTTTCCAGGGTGGTGATGGGTCCCAGCGACGACAGCGCGTGGATGGGGTCTAGGCCCTGTGCCACTCGCTGGGCGTCCTCCTGCCGTGGCGTTGAGAGGTGAGGCGGAAGGGAGAGGAGGGAGTAGGGAGATGAGGAGTGCGTGCGAGGAGAGCAATACGGCTGATCAACTCGAGGGGCGCGTGGATGGGGTCATTTTGAGGCGCCTCAAAAATCGTCTCAAAAGTCTTTTGAGGCGCCTCAAAATGTGTGCGAGGAGAGCAATACGGCTGATCAGCTCGAGGGGCGCGTGGATGGGGTCACTTTGAGGCGCCTCAAAAATCGTCTCAAAAGTCTTTTGAGGCGCCTCAAAATGTGTGCGAGGAGAGCAATACGGCTGATCAACTCGAGGGGCGCGTGGATGGGGTCACTTTGAGGCGCCTCAAAAATCGTCTCAAAAGTCTTTTGAGGCGCCTCAAAATGTGTGCGAGGAGAGCAATACGGCTGATCAACTCGAGGGGCGCGTGGATGGGGTCACTTTGAGGCGCCTCAAAAATCGTCTCAAAAGTCTTTTGAGGCGCCTCAAAATGTGTGCGAGGAGAGCAATACGGCTGATCAACTCGAGGGGCGCGTGGATGGGGTCATTTTGAGGCGCCTCAAAAATCGTCTCAGAAATCTTTTGAGGCGCCTCAAATGTGTGCGAGGAGAGCAATACGGCTGATCAACTCGAGGGGCGCGTGGATGGGGTCATTTTGAGGCGCCTCAAAAATCGTCTCAAAAGTCTTTTGAGGCGCCTCAAAATGTGTGCGAGGAGAGCAATACGGCTGATCAACTCGAGGGGCGCGTGGATGGGGTCACTTTGAGGCGCCTCAAAAATCGTCTCAAAAGTCTTTTGAGGCGCCTCAAATGTGTGCGAGGAGAGCAATACGGCTGATCAACTCGAGGGGCGCGTGGATGGGGTCATTTTGAGGCGCCTCAAAAATCGTCTCAAAAGTCTTTTGAGGCGCCTCAAAATGTGTGCGAGGAGAGCAATACGGCTGATCAACTCGAGGGGCGCGTGGATGGGGTCACTTTGAGGCGCCTCAAAAATCGTCTCAAAAGTCTTTTGAGGCGCCTCAAAATGTGTGCGAGGAGAGCAACACGGCTGATCAACTCGAGGGGCGCGTAAATGGGGTCACTTTGAGGCGCCTCAAAAATCGTCTCAAAAGTCTTTTGAGGCGCCTCAAAATGTGTGCGAGGAGAGCAATACGGCTGATCAACTCGAGGGGCGCGTGGATGGGGTCACTTTGAGGCGCCTCAAAAATCGTCTCAAAAGTCTTTTGAGGCGCCTCAAAATGTGTGCGAGGAGAGCAATACGGCTGATCAACTCGAGGGGCGTGTGGATGGGGTCATTTTGAGGCGCCTCAAAAATCGTCTCAAAAATCTTTTGAGGCGCCTCAAATGTGTGCGAGGAGAGCAATACGGCTGATCAACTCGAGGGGCGCGTGGATGGGGTCATTTTGAGGCGCCTCAAAAATCGTCTCAAAAGTCTTTTGAGGCGCCTCAAAATGTGTGCAAGGAGAGCAATACGGCTGATCAACTCGAGGGGCGCGTGGATGGGGTCACTTTGAGGCGCCTCAAAAATCGTCTCAAAAGTCTTTTGAGGCGCCTCAAAATGTGTGCGAGGAGAGCAATACGGCTGATCAACTCGAGGGGCGCGTGGATGGGGTCACTTTGAGGCGCCTCAAAAATCGTCTCAAAAGTCTTTTGAGGCGCCTCAAATGTGTGCGAGGAGAGCAATACGGCTGATCAACTCGAGGGGCGCGTGGATGGGGTCATTTTGAGGCGCCTCAAAAATCGTCTCAGAAATCTTTTGAGGCGCCTCAAATGTGTGCGAGGAGAGCAATACGGCTGATCAACTCGAGGGGCGCGTGGATGGGGTCATTTTGAGGCGCCTCAAAAATCGTCTCAAAAGTCTTTTGAGGCGCCTCAAAATGTGTGCGAGGAGAGCAATACGGCTGATCAACTCGAGGGGCGCGTGGATGGGGTCACTTTGAGGCGCCTCAAAAATCGTCTCAAAAGTCTTTTGAGGCGCCTCAAATGTGTGCGAGGAGAGCAATACGGCTGATCAACTCGAGGGGCGCGTGGATGGGGTCATTTTGAGGCGCCTCAAAAATCGTCTCAAAAGTCTTTTGAGGCGCCTCAAAATGTGTGCGAGGAGAGCAATACGGCTGATCAACTCGAGGGGCGCGTGGATGGGGTCACTTTGAGGCGCCTCAAAAATCGTCTCAAAAGTCTTTTGAGGCGCCTCAAAATGTGTGCGAGGAGAGCAATACGGCTGATCAACTCGAGGGGCGCGTGGATGGGGTCACTTTGAGGCGCCTCAAAAATCGTCTCAAAAGTCTTTTGAGGCGCCTCAAAATGTGTGCGAGGAGAGCAATACGGCTGATCAACTCGAGGGGCGCGTGGATGGGGTCACTTTGAGGCGCCTCAAAAATCGTCTCAAAAGTCTTTTGAGGCGCCTCAAAATGTGTGCGAGGAGAGCAATACGGCTGATCAACTCGAGGGGCGCGTGGATGGGGTCATTTTGAGGCGCCTCAAAAATCGTCTCAGAAATCTTTTGAGGCGCCTCAAATGTGTGCGAGGAGAGCAATACGGCTGATCAACTCGAGGGGCGCGTGGATGGGGTCATTTTGAGGCGCCTCAAAAATCGTCTCAAAAGTCTTTTGAGGCGCCTCAAAATGTGTGCGAGGAGAGCAATACGGCTGATCAACTCGAGGGGCGCGTGGATGGGGTCACTTTGAGGCGCCTCAAAAATCGTCTCAAAAGTCTTTTGAGGCGCCTCAAATGTGTGCGAGGAGAGCAATACGGCTGATCAACTCGAGGGGCGCGTGGATGGGGTCATTTTGAGGCGCCTCAAAAATCGTCTCAAAAGTCTTTTGAGGCGCCTCAAAATGTGTGCGAGGAGAGCAATACGGCTGATCAACTCGAGGGGCGCGTGGATGGGGTCACTTTGAGGCGCCTCAAAAATCGTCTCAAAAGTCTTTTGAGGCGCCTCAAAATGTGTGCGAGGAGAGCAACACGGCTGATCAACTCGAGGGGCGCGTAAATGGGGTCACTTTGAGGCGCCTCAAAAATCGTCTCAAAAGTCTTTTGAGGCGCCTCAAAATGTGTGCGAGGAGAGCAATACGGCTGATCAACTCGAGGGGCGCGTGGATGGGGTCACTTTGAGGCGCCTCAAAAATCGTCTCAAAAGTCTTTTGAGGCGCCTCAAAATGTGTGCGAGGAGAGCAATACGGCTGATCAACTCGAGGGGCGCGTGGATGGGGTCATTTTGAGGCGCCTCAAAAATCGTCTCAAAAATCTTTTGAGGCGCCTCAAATGTGTGCGAGGAGAGCAATACGGCTGATCAACTCGAGGGGCGCGTGGATGGGGTCATTTTGAGGCGCCTCAAAAATCGTCTCAAAAGTCTTTTGAGGCGCCTCAAAATGTGTGCAAGGAGAGCAATACGGCTGATCAACTCGAGGGGCGCGTGGATGGGGTCACTTTGAGGCGCCTCAAAAATCGTCTCAAAAGTCTTTTGAGGCGCCTCAAAATGTGTGCGAGGAGAGCAATACGGCTGATCAACTCGAGGGGCGCGTGGATGGGGTCACTTTGAGGCGCCTCAAAAATCGTCTCAAAAGTCTTTTGAGGCGCCTCAAAATGTGTGCGAGGAGAGCAATACGGCTGATCAACTCGAGGGGCGCGTGGATGGGGTCACTTTGAGGCGCCTCAAAAATCGTCTCAAAAGTCTTTTGAGGCGCCTCAAAATGTGTGCGAGGAGAGCAATACGGCTGATCAACTCGAGGGGCGCGTGGATGGGGTCATTTTGAGGCGCCTCAAAAATCGTCTCAAAAGTCTTTTGAGGCGCCTCAAAATGTGTGCGAGGAGAGCAATACGGCTGATCAACTCGAGGGGCGCGTGGATGGGGTCACTTTGAGGCGCCTCAAAAATCGTCTCAAAAGTCTTTTGAGGCGCCTCAAATGTGTGCGAGGAGAGCAATACGGCTGATCAACTCGAGGGGCGCGTGGATGGGGTCACTTTGAGGCGCCTCAAAAATCGTCTCAAAAGTCTTTTGAGGCGCCTCAAAATGTGTGCGAGGAGAGCAATACGGCTGATCAACTTGAGGGGCGCGTGGATGGGGTCACTTTGAGGCGCCTCAAAAATCGTCTCAAAAGTCTTTTGAGGCGCCTCAAAATGTGTGCGAGGAGAGCAATACGGCTGATCAACTTGAGGGGCGCGTGGATGGGGTCACTTTGAGGCGCCTCAAAAATCGTCTCAAAAGTCTTTTGAGGCGCCTCAAATGTGTGCGAGGAGAGCAATACGGCTGATCAACTCGAGGGGCGCGTGGATGGGGTCATTTTGAGGCGCCTCAAAAATCGTCTCAAAAGTCTTTTGAGGCGCCTCAAAATGTGTGCGAGGAGAGCAATACGGCTGATCAACTCGAGGGGCGCGTGGATGGGGTCACTTTGAGGCGCCTCAAAAATCGTCTCAAAAGTCTTTTGAGGCGCCTCAAATGTGTGCGAGGAGAGCAATACGGCTGATCAACTCGAGGGGCGCGTGGATGGGGTCATTTTGAGGCGCCTCAAAAATCGTCTCAAAAGTCTTTTGAGGCGCCTCAAAATGTGTGCGAGGAGAGCAATACGGCTGATCAACTCGAGGGGCGCGTGGATGGGGTCACTTTGAGGCGCCTCAAAAATCGTCTCAAAAGTCTTTTGAGGCGCCTCAAAATGTGTGCGAGGAGAGCAATACGGCTGATCAACTCGAGGGGCGCGTGGATGGGGTCACTTTGAGGCGCCTCAAAAATCGTCTCAAAAGTCTTTTGAGGCGCCTCAAAATGTGTGCGAGGAGAGCAATACGGCTGATCAACTCGAGGGGCGCGTGGATGGGGTCACTTTGAGGCGCCTCAAAAATCGTCTCAAAAGTCTTTTGAGGCGCCTCAAAATGTGTGCGAGGAGAGCAATACGGCTGATCAACTCGAGGGGCGCGTGGATGGGGTCATTTTGAGGCGCCTCAAAAATCGTCTCAAAAGTCTTTTGAGGCGCCTCAAAATGTGTGCGAGGAGAGCAATACGGCTGATCAACTCGAGGGGCGCGTGGATGGGGTCACTTTGAGGCGCCTCAAAAATCGTCTCAAAAGTCTTTTGAGGCGCCTCAAATGTGTGCGAGGAGAGCAATACGGCTGATCAACTCGAGGGGCGCGTGGATGGGGTCACTTTGAGGCGCCTCAAAAATCGTCTCAAAAGTCTTTTGAGGCGCCTCAAAATGTGTGCGAGGAGAGCAATACGGCTGATCAACTTGAGGGGCGCGTGGATGGGGTCACTTTGAGGCGCCTCAAAAATCGTCTCAAAAGTCTTTTGAGGCGCCTCAAAATGTGTGCGAGGAGAGCAATACGGCTGATCAACTTGAGGGGCGCGTGGATGGGGTCACTTTGAGGCGCCTCAAAAATCGTCTCAAAAGTCTTTTGAGGCGCCTCAAATGTGTGCGAGGAGAGCAATACGGCTGATCAACTCGAGGGGCGCGTGGATGGGGTCATTTTGAGGCGCCTCAAAAATCGTCTCAAAAGTCTTTTGAGGCGCCTCAAAATGTGTGCGAGGAGAGCAATACGGCTGATCAACTCGAGGGGCGCGTGGATGGGGTCACTTTGAGGCGCCTCAAAAATCGTCTCAAAAGTCTTTTGAGGCGCCTCAAAATGTGTGCGAGGAGAGCAATACGGCTGATCAACTCGAGGGGCGCGTGGATGGGGTCACTTTGAGGCGCCTCAAAAATCGTCTCATCACATGAGGAGTGTGTGCGAGGAGAGCAATATGGCTCATCAACTCAAGGGGCGCGTGGATGGGGTCAAGGACTTGAGCTACTCGCAGGGCGTCCTCCTATCATGACGAGATGGGGGGTGAGGGGAGAGGAGGGATTAGGGGTTCAAACCATTAATCACCTATCCAATCGAACAATTAACCAACCAACCTGGGCGAAATCCAGCAGTTGATTGGAGAGGCGGGAACCCACGGAGCGCTGGCAGCGGTGCATTCGGTGGTGCAGTGTTGAGATTTGAACCCCGACGACAGCAGCCTAAATTCATCCAACTGACCTGGTTGACTTTTGAGTCGACTCAAAAGTCATCCAACTGACCTGGTTGAAATCGAGCAACTGATTTGAGAGGCAGACCCCACGAAGCGCTGGCTGCGGTGTAATCCGGTTGATGCAGTGTAGAGGCTCGAACCATGAACCTGCAAATTTCAACCAACCGACCTGGGCTAAGTCCAGCAGCTGGTTGGAGAGGCAGGAGCCCACGGAGCGCTGGCAGCGGTCGGGCTCAAAGCGGAAGGCGCTGAAGCTGGCTGCTGGTGCGCACCTTGCTGCACTCGCTGCCGTCCACTAGTGTTGTGCTGTGATTCGGATTAAAATACCAACCATGGAACTGACCTGGGCGAAATCCAGCAGCTGGTTGGAGAGGCAGGAGCCCACGGAGCGCTGGCAGCGGTCGGGCTCGAAGCGGAAGGCACTGAAGCTGGTGCCGACCTTGTTGCACTCGCTGCCATCCAGCGAGTAGCGTTCCTTGTCCACTAGCAGCCAGCCTGGGTAAGGGGAGTAGGAGTTGTAATATCTTGAGCTACAAATGCTTATCCGTGGGATGCTTATCCGTGGGATGCTGAAGCTGGTGCCGATCTTTCCGCACTCGCTGCCATCCAGCGAGTAGCGCTCCTTGTCCACTAGCAGCCAGCCTGGAGCGGGATTTTGGAATCCAGGGTGATGGATTAGAAGGAGAAATGGAGGTGCCATTTTATAGCGAGTACCGCTCCTTGTCCACTAGCAGCCAGCCTGGGTGACCAGCCGGGTGTGGGGTTTAGAGATCCGGAGGATGGCAAATTCTCATTCGCAACACTGCTAAAGAGACTATTATTCATTACTCGCCCTTTCACCGATTCCCCCCTCCCTCAGAACAACCCCAATTGCAACCGACCTGACGTGTCGGAGGTGAATCGACTGAAGGTGGAAGAGCCAGGTTGCAGGGGCACGGAGGGCAGGAGGTCACTCAGGTTAGACAACAAGTCCCCCTCCCCACCCTTCCTACCCTAACCTCCGCTCCCCTCCCTTCGCAGGTGAATACAGGTGGTAACAAAGCCACCTGACGTGTCGGAGGTGAATCGGCCAAATGTGGGGGAGCCGGGCTGCAGGGGCACGGAGACCAGGCGGTCACTCAGATTGGGCAGCTGCGTGTAGGTCAGGGAGTTTGATCTTCCCACCCCTCCTATCCTACCGTACCCCCTCCCTCTCCTTACCTCTCATTTATCAAAGCCACAACCCACCTGACGTGTCGGAGGTGAATCGACCAAACGTAGGAGAACCAGGTTGCAGGGGCACGGACAGAAGGCGGTCACTCAGGTTGGGCAGCTGCGTGTAGGTCAGGAAGTCGCCCACCAGAGTGGCTGAGAGCGATTGAGAGGGGTTCACTGCGACTGGAGCCATGGGCGAAAGGATGAGCGTTTCCTGTGTGTGGGGTGAAGGGGAATGTGGGAGAAAGGGTTGGGAATCACTCTCTCAGGAATCACTCTCGGGAATCACTCTCTCAGGAATCACTCTCTCAGGAATCACTCTCTCAGGAATCACTCTCTCAGGAATCACTCTCTCAGGAATCACTCTCTCAGGAATCACTCTCTCAGGAATCACTCTCGGGAATCACTCTCGGGAATCACTCTCGGGAATCCTCAAAAGGAACAGCTGCGTGTAAGGTCATTCTTGATGAGAATGGGTAGGAGGGATTGAGTAGGTTTCAGTGCCACAGGACAGGACCCATGGGCAGTGGGCAGGGTATGTTTGAAAAATTCTCATGGGCACAAAATTACATGGTGATTTGAATCTGAAACACCGGGCATCTAGCTCTACCTCTACACATCACACCATTCACCCCTCCTCCTCCCGCCAGAACCCACCCCTGAATACATCGCACCTGCTCGTGCATGTCCGAGAGAAGCTTGCTGATGGTGATCTGGATCTGAAACACCAGAGATGCCACGCCTATGCGGTACGTGGGGTACCTGGTGGTGGGAAGGCGAAACGGATGGGCGAAATGGATGGATGGCCGTGGCTAAGCTGTACGCGGGATATCTGGTGGTGCGGGCGGGGGTGGCTGGGACGTGGAGGGGTGAAGAGGTGGGGAAGAGCGTGGCTCAGGAGAAACAGGTGGGTTACAACACGCACGCCTGTTTGCGGCTTTTCTAGCATAAAAAAATAATAAGCAAGAAAAGATAGTCACAACTGACCAGGTGTCGTTGAATCGAAGGCAGTGAGAGCTGGAGGGCACTCCTCCAAAGAACAGCTCTGGGATGGGATGGGCGATGGAAGGAAGAATCGAGACATGATGCAAAAAATAAGAAACCCGGATCAGAAAAAAGACTTGCCATGCTCTGCTATGAGGCTTATTTTGAGAATTCTCTTTTTTTGAGGTTGATTTTGAGAATTCTCAAAATCAACCTCAAAATCAACATCAGGAAAAAGACTTGCCATGCTCTGCTATGTGAAGTGAAGCAAATGTTTCCCTGTCTCTCCCTCCCTCCCCTTCCCCACAAACTCCCCATCCCATCCCCTCCCCCATTCACTCTCCTTCTCTTCCTAACTTTCGTAACCCCCACACACCTTCCCTTCTGCACCCACTCACTCTGTCGCCACAGGCTACAGTCCAGTCCAGGTCAGCCCTGAACTGCTGTAATCTGGCCCTCCTTCTGCCTCTACCCCTTCACAGCTACCCCTTCACAACTCCCCCATTGCTCCTCCTCCCCACCACCACCACCCGCACCCACTCACTCTGCCGCCACAGGCTGCAGTCCAGGTCAGCCCTGAACTGCTGCGGATTGTCCAGACCAATGGAGTCCTTCCACGTGTCACCACCACTGCAACTGCAGCAGAATCCCTGAACACAGACAATGGGAAAGATAAGACGCAATTTGGGTTGGCAAAAGATCATGTGGGGTTCTTGATATTCAGATTCACCTGGCCAAAGGGAACCCTGGGACAAGCCGGATAGAAGAACCAGCCACATATAGACCACCCTGGATCCTGGGACAAGTAGACTCTCAGAATGTCAACTCACCTGGCTGTTGGGCACCCTTGTGCAGTCCGGGTAGAGGAACCAACCACAGGTGGGGTCGCTGTCATAGGCACCGTCCCTGCGCCCTGTTGCTCAGCTGCTCACTGCCTGCGCACTGTCCAGCCCAGCCCGCTCACTTATTCACCTGGCTGTTGGGCGCTCGTGAGCCATCCGGGTAGAGGAACCAGCCACAGGTGGGGTCGCTGTTACTGTCACAAGCACCGTCCCTGCACCGCGTTGCTCACTTGAGTGGGTGACTCTCAGAATGCTGATTCACCTGACTGTTGGGCACTCTTGTGCCATCGGGATAGAGGAACCAGCCGCACGTGGGGTCGCTGTCATAGGCACCGTCCCTGCACCCCATTGTAGTCACCACCACCTCGTACGGCCGGCCATTGAAGGACTGCCACGTGGCAGGCAGGCAGAAGGTGGGGTGGGCAGGGGAGAATGCGGTTCATGAAGCTTCATTTACAAAAACTTCTACAGCCACGGTTAGGGCCAGCTGCAGTGTCTTACGTCTCAAAGTTACGTTACCATAAGCTTCATTGGGGCCATCTCAGAACTCTTACCACGAATGAAACATCTGAACTTGCCAAGGGCAGGCAAGCAACACACACGAGAGACAGACACACAGCAAAATTTAGTCACAGATTATTCCTACCTGCCTGTTCAAACCCCATGATCGACACAGGTGACTTTTGAGAGAGCTCAAAAGTCACCTGAAACATTAAAAAAAAAAAAGTCAAACACAGCACAGCAAAGCTCATTGCAATTCTCACGGAAGGTGAAAGGAGAAGGTAGAGCTCAAGAAGTAGTATAATTTTACCAGTTGGTTTTTGAGAATTCTCAAAAACCAAGTAGTATAATTTTACCTCAAGAAGAAGGTAGAGCTGTGGCCATACCTGCAGGAAGGTGAGTGGGTACACGGCATAGACAGGCGTCTTCACCACCGTGATCTTCACAGGGTCTGCTAACCGCCTCTCCACTCCTTCTCCCTTCCCTCCCCCTCCTCCTGCTCCTCCCCCTCCTGCCACTGTGCCATTCCCGCCTCCGCTGTTCCCTCCCTCGCTGTTGTTTCCTCCCTCACTGCTGATTCCTTCCGCGCTGCTGTCGTCTCCCCTTCCTCCACCGTTCCCTCCCTTGGCGCCATTATTTCCCTTGCTGCTATCTGCGGCTCTTCCAGCAGCAGCACCTGTGCTGTCACTCACGCGCGTTAGAACTGCCTCTATGGCCTCCGTGCCTAGCGTCTGGAGGTAAGAAGAGGAGGAGGGGGAGGAAGAGGAAGGGGAGGCAGAAGAGGAGGCAGAAGAGGAGGCAGAAGAGGAGGCAGAAGAGGAGAGAGAGAGAGGAACAAGAGAGTGTAAATTACAAGTCAAATTGTTGGGCGTCACCTTTTCACGCTAAGGCACCTGTGCTGTTTTCAAAGGGGGTTGGACTTTCAAAGGGGAGCCAAAAAAAAGGGTGAAGCAACCCTGCGGATAACTCACATGACCGTTGGAAACAGCAAGAGAGAGCACGATCTTCTTCCTGCACTTCACTGACTTGGCCCCGTCTGGTATGTAACTTGGCTGCTGCTGCTGCTGCTGCTGCTCCCCCGTTCCCAATCCCCCACCAGGCACTGTTCCTGCTGCACCATACCCCACTCCTCCATATCCGACTCCAGCTGATGCTATTGCAGATGCTGCAGCTGCTGCTGCTGCTGCTGCTGCTGCTGCTGATAATGATGGTAATGCTGCTGCTGCCGGCGTGTTAAGTACTGCACCGTTTCTCTGCTTCTGCAGCACCCCTTCATGTTCATCCAATCCAGCACCACCCGTACCAGCAGAATCCGTGCCAGCAGCATCGGTACCAGCAACCCCCCCATCAGCCACACACATAGTGAGGTCGCTCTTAGCGATGATGCCCGCCGCACACAGCAGCACGCCCCTCGATAGCGTCCTGTCCGTCCGATCCCCAACAGGCACGATCTGGTCCGTCCATTTGCCGACATCCAGCAGCAGCAGAGCCACCAAGAGCAAGAAGTGCCGATATGCTCGATGCATTCTCGAACTACTCTGGGCCTGCTTATGCCAATGCGCTGCCGCTGCTTCTGCCACTTTCCCTACCAAATCTGCGTGGTTCGTCCCACCACAAATTTCAGCACTGAAGTGAACCCTCCCATAGCTTACTCCACGCTGTCATTTCCTATTATGCCACATCACCGCGAGGCACTAGCGGGCAATCAGTAATTGACACTAGCCATGAGAAATCGGCAGCTCATTTCTTCATGAAAAGAAGAAGAAGCGAACAGATTAGCAGCTCATTTCTTCATGAAAAGAAGAAGAAGCGAACAGATTAGCAGCTCATTTCTTCATGAAAAGAAGAAGAAGCGAACAGATTAGCAGCTCATTTCTTCATGAAAAGAAGAAGAAGCGAACAGATTAGCAGCTCATTTCTTCATGAAAAGAAGAAGAAGCGAACAGATCAGCAGCTCATTTCTTCATGAAAAGAAGAAGAAGCGAACAGATCAGCAGCTCATTTCTTCATGAAAAGAAGAAGAAGCGAACAGATCAGCAGCTCATTTCTTCATGAAAAGAAGAAGAAGCGAACAGATTAGCAGCTCATTTCTTCATGAAAAGAAGAAGAAGCGAACAGATTAGCAGCTCATTTCTTCATGAAAAGAAGAAGAAGCGAACAGATTAGCAGCTCATTTCTTCATGAAAAGAAGAAGAAGCGAACAGATTAGCAGCTCATTTCTTCATGAAAAGAAGAAGAAGCGAACAGATCAGCAGCTCATTTCTCCCCCGGAACATCTAATTCTCCTCCTTCCCTTTCCCTCCCAATTTCTCTCTCTGTCTCCTCTCCCTCCCTAACCCCTGACTCTCCCTTTCCCTCTTTTCTTACTGTCCAGGCCTCATTTCATTGTATTGCCTTTCATCCAGTTCTGTTGTCGCGTTGAACGAATCACGCATGAGTTACAAAATGATTTCGCAGGGTTCTCATTGAATTCCCGTCTTCCCCTACGCCTGGCAGCGCACTTGTTCACACGCGGTGTTCGCCCCCCCGGGCCGGAAGCGTGACACGGTATTCCAAGTTCGCGTGCGGAACTACTAGCTCCGGTGGAAAAACTTCTGAGGCGCATCAAAAGTCGTGACATTGGTAATCGAGTCACGCAGAACTACTAGAACCGGTAGGAAAACGCTCTGTTCCGTACAAACGGCCGCTCTTGCGGAATCATTCCGCGAAGCAATGATTGCTCCGAGCACGGAGGGCGAGGGATTCTTCGCGGATCCATCGACGAACCGCGTGACCGGTGGAACCGCGAGGCCATTGCTGATGGTAAGCACGAACTGCAAGGACGAGAGAACCGTTTGGAAAAACAGAAAGTCCTTGGGAAAGGAAGCGAGCCGCTATATGCCGTACACCCCAAAGTTCTTCTGTAAATGGCTGTAACGTACGCCTCAGAAGAGTGGTTAGCGAGCCGCTAAGGGGGGAACCGTTAACGTTAGCAAGCGGGTGGTGGGAATAAGCAGCTCGTTTCGTTCGCCACGCCCTCGGTGGTGGACAAACGGGTTCATTGCATGGAGCCGCGAGGAACCGTTTGGAACCAGGATATGACTTCAACGAGAATGAAACTAAAAGAACGCAAGGATGACATACATGAGCTGGGCGCGACACGATAATACTTTGAAACATGTGTTTAGTACGGTTCACCCGTAAATGTCGCAGTCATCCTAGGCTGAACGCCGCGCATATCGTCATGACTTCACTTGAATCTATGTCAGGCTGAAAGGCAGGGATGGAATGGGCTCGGTGTTCGCGAAGGGAGAGATTTCAGCGGAAACTGGGTTGTGTTGTTACCTTCGAAAATGATCCAACACCGACCTGACGTTTAAGGAATTTACCTTTCAGGGCGTGTTAAATCGCCAACATTGATTTTTTGGCTCCGAAGCATCGGGCCGAGTTGGCAAAAGTAACCCTATGACGAAGGTCGTCAATCTTGTCGCCTCATTCGGCACTATCGAAAAAAATAACGAGTTTGATGGCCGGATAAAAAGTCGACCAATTTTATTGCGACAACAACTTGATACAGTTGTTCTCGTTTAAAGTCCGACGGAGAAACACGCCGCGCGCGGACTATATGTCAAAATGTCCGAAACCCCGGGCAAACGGGACCCTATAGTCCCAAATTCGAGAAAATTGCATGAAAAGCGGTTTTTTGTCTCTACTGGTTGTTGTTTTTTGTCATATACGTACGTATGGACCGCGCTTGCTTCAACTTCTCGTCGAACGGTTTTACGCGTTATCAGTGATGCGTGAAAAACGGGCAGAAATAAACAACATCGATTATGTTTGATGCCATAATAAGTTTGTCTTTTTGTTTTTCCTTCCTGTCAGCGAGATTACTGAGATGTCATCGTGGAGCGCGCTAGGAATCGCGCGACGGGAATAAGAAACAAGCGCGGTCAAGAGAAACAAAAAATATCAGTTGTAAATGTTCACTTCAAAACAAAACTGCCTTTTTTAGCATTCTCCGTTAATGTTCAAGGCACTTATACGTGCAATGAACCTGGTCAAAAAAGGGACTGTAGAGGAGGGGCCACACCTAGGAATTAAAGGAAAAAGCTCCTCATTCTGAAAATGGGACTTTGTGAGCGCGGGACTTTATAGCGGAACCATTTGTAGATGCTATCCGCCATGGATTCGGCCAAGAACTTCGGCCTGCGAGTTCATGAAGCCTGTTTGTCAGTTGACTTAATTAAGGACAGATCCGAGTTCCTTATAACCAGACGAAGCCATCTATGTATATTTCGTGTCCATCAGGCGGACATTGTATCTGCTTCTAAAGTGTTCTTGGTTTCATGTCAAGAATCGAAGCTCAAGGTTTCAGTATCTCCGATCCTGACGCGGCTCCCTGAAGGCTCTTTATTCCACAGGGGTTATCGTGATTTATTATCAAGATTAAACTTTTCTCGAAGAGGTTGTCTGGTGTCCTCCTCGGTTCTACATCACCAGGAGCAAGAGCATTGGCATGCTAACTATTTAACTAGGAAGGCGCGGTCAACTAAGCTCAGACTTCAGACGTTCATCAATTGGCCAGCTTCTGTCACTGGTCCATCGTCCATTGCACATCATCGCTCTGCCATGCCTCTTAAGCGTGTGAAGCCTGTTGATGCTCAGGGAGTTCCTGATGCTCCTGATTCACCTGCAGCAACAACAGGGGATGGTTCTGATGTCAATGCGGTCAACGGCGTTTCTGCTGGTGGTTCTGGTCTTTCAGCTGCTGACAAGCAACAGATCCCGTCAATGGCTTCTGCAACGGCTAACAATGATGAATCTCAAAAGCACTGACGGCGGACTCCGACGACGAGCTCGATTTCGATTTCCAGCAAGTCGTTTCTGCGCATCTACGTTTCATGGCTCTTCTGCTTATACCTTTTGTCCTGTCGCAGGAGATGGCTTCGGTCATCTCCTCCGTTAAGATGCTTCTAAAACGCGTCTGGGCTTCGTCGCTGTCTGACAATGCTCCCTCTACCGTAAAGTTCCAAGAGCTTCTGCCGTCGTGTGTGGCCAACACCAAGTTCTGCCGTCTTCAGCTTTCCTTCCTGCTGGAAAGTGATGCTTTGGGGGTTCGCGAGAAGGAGGTGGTTTATCACAAGACTAATGGGACGGAATTCAGGCTTTTCTGGCAGCACACTGAGGACGCTGGTTACATGAAGAAGAATTCTTTGAATCCGCATGCTATTGAGGTGGTTTTTAAAGGCATTTCCGCTAACATCTCACTGGATCTGTTGAAGGAGTGCCTGGCGAAATACAATATGAAAGGGAAGCAGCAGCCGATCTTCCGCGCTGGCAGCTGTTTTCATCGTGTCCTGCATCCTGTTACGGGAACTGACTCGGACGTCATCAAGGGTTTGGTCTACAGTCACAATGACGGCCTGTTCAACTGGAAGCAAGTGATTGGCAACCCACTGGAGAGGGGAAAGAAGCTGCTGATCCATTATCCGGCCTTATCCTGCTCTCTCTTTGGGGGACATCATCATGATAAGTATCATGATGTGTTTGTCATTGAGAGGCAGAATAATGTTGGCAAATGGAATTTGTCGTTGGGCAGAGTGCATCGTCTTAACGATAACTGAGCTATCTGCTGCATCACAGTCCCTCTTCTCACCTTACTACTCTTACTAACGCTTGTGTGGTTTCTCGCAGCTGCTTCCCTCCCCGCGTCCTCCTTGGTTCTTCCGATTTTTCGCGATCCTGCTATTGCACTGATATCCACCGGCGGGAACAGGGAGGAATGGCTTTGCACACAGTCTGCTTGTGGGAAGGCGAAGGGGAAGAGTTTCTTATCTGCTTCGGAGCATATTGCATCGGCAAGTCATCTGCTTCACCAGGAGAAGTTCGGCACTGCTACGAAGCTGTCCCTCGAGAAGATGAACCTCAACACCATTCGGAAGGAGTACGGGTTCTAGCCTGCCTATATGGTCGGGATTGTTTAACGGAGATTAGTTTGTAGCCAGTTGTCAGATCTGTCGGTTCGCTGTCATTTACCAGCCTGTGGATGCTCTGGGGCTGCAGGTTGGTTGTTAAATGAATATTAAGAACCACCTCACCTTTGCGGCCGTCAACGTTAACGGCCTGGGAGACTGGAAGAAGCAAGAACGGGTCACCGACTGGCACAGATCAGCGGCAGATGTAATGATCCTAGCGGACACTAGAATAGCTTCAAGTCACACCTACTGGAACTCACTCGCAAACCTTACCTCCACCACAGTACTCGCCTCTTCCCCTCATCCGCTGTCGAGAGTTGGTGGGGTTGCGGTTCTTTGCCGCAATCTGCTGGTTACCTTCCAGGATACGCTGCTGCATCCATCTGGTAGAATAGTTAGGACCACGGTGGGTGGTGTGGGTCTGGAGCTCACCCTTTTGGCCGTTTACTTCCCGGTGGACCCGGCCTTACGAGCAGTCTTCTCCGAGATGTCTTGGGACCGGTGGTGGATCAGGTCCCCTCGTCATCTCACCTTCTCATCATCGGGGACCTTAACCTGATTGAAGATCCCTCATTAGATAAAACTTCGGGTAGCGGCTCGTCGTCGGAGAATGAGAAGCTCTTTCTGCGTTGCTGTAGCTTCCAGCTCTCTGACGCGTTTCGGGCTCTGCATCCACGGAAAAGGGAGTACACGTTTTACTCAGCGGCGCAGCAGGAGAGTACACGGATTGATCGGGCGCTGGTTTCTCAGTCATTGTTACCGTACCTGTCACTGGCGTCTCATCAGATGCCGAGGAGCCTATCGCGGATCATGGCTTCGCAATCCATGTGGCGTTCCGGCTTGATGCGAAAGTCCGCACGGGGCCGTGTATCTGGAGGCTCCACGCTTCCATGTTGCGCAGGCCGGGAGTTCGGAAGATTATTGAGGCGACGGTGTGGCGTACGCCGGTCAACAACGGTAGCAGTTTTGAGTTGTTGTTGTCGCGGTTGAGCGTTGGTCTCATGTCCTACGCGAGGGAGGAAAGAAAGCGGGTGAAGGCCACGTTGGCACACCTGCATCAGGCGGTTGCAGTTTTGAAGCAAGAGTTAATGGGCGGGAGGAAGAAGGCATTGCTGGCGGAAAAGGAATAGCGGCTTAAAGCATACCATGCCGCGAGACGAGACAGGCTGCACCTGCAGACAGGTTTAACGGCGGAGCTTACTAGGGAGATAGCTTCCAAGCTTCTCTCTGCTAAAGTTCGGGCGCGGAAGGCGAGGACGAAGATCGCGAAACTTAAGGTTGGCGGAACCACGGTTGGTGGTCCCAGGCCGGTGCTGGAGGCTGCGTCGGAGTTCTTCACAAATATCTTTGGGCAGGACCGCAGAACGGACTTTACGGGTTGGAAGGTGGCCCCGAGTCGACGCCTGCAGGAGGGGCTAGCAACTTTCCTAGAAGCAGATTGGACGGAGGAGGAAGTTAAGAGGGCAATCGCGGCAATGGCAAACAACAAATCTCCGGGGAGTGACGGTTTGCCGAAGGAGCTGTTCGAGGTTCATTGGGACCTGCTGGGGGGGAGTTTTATGGCCATGGCGCGGATTTTCCAGGCATCGTCTTCACTGCCTGGTGAAATCAAGGAAGCAGTGACGATTCTTCTTCACAAAAAGGGAGAGAAAGACCAGCTGAATAACTACCGCCCCATCACCTTGCTGAATTTCACTTACAAGGTCCTGGCGCGAGTGATAGTAGATCGAATGAAGTTGGTGTTGCACCAGGTCATCTCTCCGGAACAGTACGGTTTTCTGCCGGGAAGGCGGCTGTCGGATGCGGTGTCCCTGGTGGCAGACATCGTTGAGGCAGCGAGGAACGGGTGCAAGGATTGGCATTTGCTTCTGGTCGATTTTAAAAAAGCTCTCGACTCCGTCTCTCGCAACTTTCTTTTCCAGGTGCTGCGGGGTATGGGTTTCCCAGACCGTTTTGTGGGATGGATAGAGGGCCTGCACAGGGACACAAAAATGCGGCTGTTAGTGAATGGATGGCTGGGCAGGGGGCTGGAAGTAGTCTCGGGGGTTCGGCAAGGGTGCCCTCTGGCTCCCTACCTTTTCCTCTGTGCTGTGGAGCCGCTGGCGCAGGAGGTGGAGCGCAGGAAGCTCGGTTTGGCTAAGGAGGGACGGCATATCGGTTATCTCGGCTATGCTGATGACACGACGCTGGTTCTGCAGGGGAAGCAACAGATTGTCAGAGCGGTGCAGCTGCTAAGCGAGTTCGAGAAAGTTTCAGGTCTTGCAACAAATGCTGACAAGACGGTGGTCTTACCTCTGGGGGTGAATATTCGAGTTAATGGCAGAACACTGTGCGGCTTCAAGCGTGCCGGCGCGGACGATGCGGAGAGGCTGTTGGGCGTCTGGGTGACCCCGTCTGGCAGTGGATTACCGACTTGGGAGAAGGCGCTGGGACACATCAGCGGGAAGTTAGTCAAATGGAAGCAGAAGTATCTTACAACCTTGGTAAGGGCGACGGTGGTGAACAATTACATCACGACGATTATCACTTTCCAAGCTCAGGTGTACTCACCTCCGGCGGTTATCTGGGAAGAGCTGATGAGACTGATCCAGGGCTTCATTTCCGGAAGCAGGGTCTCGGGAGTGAAGGGGTTCCAGCTCTAGAGCAGGGAGCTGTTGTTCAAGTCCAGGGCGGCTGGAGGCATCGGTGTCAGGGACCCTGAGATGATCATCATGTGTCTAGCCGCGAGGAGGGTGGGCCTGTTCCTCATCGAGAGCGATCGACTAAAAAAGGAAATCATGTCGCTGGCAGTAGACTTACCTCTTGGGGCGGATACCTTTGAGGCGCATGAAAAGCTGATTAAGCACTAGTCTGGCCGTGGCGTCTGCTGGAAACAGACATGTGAAATTTTCATGCACTCTCCCTTCGGAACTCGGGCTCCGGCTGGAAGCAGGGAGGAAGTGTTGCGGGAAAGAATTTTCTTTAATCGGGAGGTTCTGCTTAACGGAACCACGCCTGTCGGGGGGTAGCAGGATGCTCAGAGGCTGAAAGAGGTTCGTCTGGGTGATCTGCTGGTGCAGGGGGCTGACGGGGAACTCGACGAGAAGGCTATGGCGGCGCTTTCTCAGCAGCTGGGGGGGAACGGTCCGGCCAAGCTCGCTCTCAAGGCACTGAAGGCTTTGCCAGCCTCTTGGCAGAGCTTGCTGGGCTTCCCAATTGTTCCACCCTGCTCGGCTGACTCCCCCCAGAGGCTGGTGGTGGTGGAAGGGAGGCGGGTCATCTCTGATGAAGGAGGGTTGGCGTGGCGCAGAGAAACAGTTATACAAGCAGCAGAAGTGGGCATAAAAGTGGCAAGGGACCATTGACTGGAAACGGGCAATTGTGACCAGGGACTCCTTGGCGGTTCCTAGCTGTCCGCGGGATGTCCTCATCAGGATCCACGGTTGGAATTTGCAAGTCGGGGAGAGGTTGGCTTTTCTCAACAACAAGCCGGTCTGCTCGTACTGTGGGGAATCGGAGTCGATGGGGCACTGTCTTCTGCTTTGTCCACGTATTCAGGTGGTTACCTCGGCCCTCAGGCAGGCGCTATGCATGCTGAATCCTGGTCGTACGATCACGCTGGGTGACCTTCTGTTTCGGAAAACGGGCACCACCTCAGCGTTCCCGGAGCTGACTCTCACAGCCATCACCTTCCATCAGCTGTGGCTAGAACGATGTGAGGCGGTGTTTCGTGGCGGCAAGTTCCGGACGCAGCGGGTTTTATGGAAGATTGTTTTCGCTTCCAGGCAGCATGCAAGGATCTACACTCGGAAGTTTGACTCGGTGCGGCGGAAACAGTTGCGTTGCAATTATGAGAAGGAACGGAACATGCTTCAGAGGATAACACAGGATGACATCAGTTGGAAGTGGACAAGCACGTTTGCAACATTGTGGTCACCCCGGAGGGCGGGTCCCAGCGCGCCCTAATGTGTCTCGCTTTCGGGGTAAGGGCTTGCCCTGCCCCTCACGCACGGTTGCGACCGTTCTTGGTGTTGTACGCTTGCTCTTCAATGTACTTTACCAATTATCATTAAAAAAAAAAAAAAAAAACGATCAATTGGTCGTCGTGGCGTCGACTTAAAAACGGCCATGCATCCGTCGCGTCGTTGCGACAACGTCGCAACGAGTCGCAAACCGTTTGCGACAACGTTGTGACTACTGTATCATGTGCGCGACTCCGTCGCAAAATTTGGCCACCCCCGACTTAACAACTTTCCGAAGCGGCCTGAAAATCGGTCACCAAAGTTGTAAATTCGCCAAAACTGTAAATGGTGGCTGTAAAAGTGTCGACTCTGATTCGGCCACCTCGTCGTTGTTCGCGAAAAATATGACGACCATTTGGTCGTCGAAAATTCCGCCACGCCCTTACCTTACTCAAGCACCCTATACGCATGCAATTCCAAATTTCGGAGTTCTTAGGCTCGGCCCGCCGACCTCGCCTCCGAACGTCCACCGCGTCGCCTTCGGGTTTTCCAACCCCAAACCTGCACCCAACCTTGCCCCAACCTTGAGCGGTCCCGCAACCTCGACCTAGTTAGCCTTCGCTATAGCTTTGCTAGGCCTCATTATTCTCACAGTAGTTGTAATCACTTCCGCGATATTGCATTCTGCGCACTCTACTTCTTACAACTCATAACACTTGGTACCAGAGCTATTTTCCTAGGTTACCCTCACATTTGTGGGGTAGTTTAGTAGAGTGGTGCGTTAGACCTGGTGGGCTGCAAAGCGGTCGACTGAGAAATAGATACGATTATTTCGCTCCGACTATGCTAGCGTTTGCGCCTTCATCAAGGTCATAAAAATCGTTATAAACCCCCTGCCCATTAGGATGAGCCTGAGAAACATAAATCAGGCTGAATTTGACGCGTTTAAGCAGCAGTTCCGGGCGATGCAGGCCAACTTGCAGACCATGTCTGAGGAGGTCAGGCGCCTGAGGGAAGAAAACGCCGAGCTACGCTAGGCGCGAGGTGAAGCGCGCCAGGAGTCGCCCGTCATGGACGAAGCAAGCGGCAGTTCATCGCTCAATGGGGACGTACTCAGCGAGCTACAAGGCTCCCTGGATGCTGAAAATGAGTGGATGGCACGGCAGCAACAGGCACAGGAGGCGCAAGAGCAACAGCAATAGTCACAAGCAACGCCAAGACAACACTCGCAAGCGATGCCAAGGCGGGCACAAGTGACAATTCCGGCGATGGCTTCGACTGCGCCGATGATGCATGCGGAAGTGGCAGTTTCCACAACTGTGTCTGCATGGTTGTTCGGCGTGGAGGTTTTGTTTAATGCTGCGCAAATTGCTGATGATGCCACCCGCATTAATTTTGCAGTGTCGTTGTTACGAGGACTTGCATTGGGGTGGTGGTACCGCACGCTACAGTCAGAGGGGACTTCGGCAGGGATATCACATGCGAACGACTTGACCTAGACACCTGTCACGCAACAGGCAACATCAATCTTTGGAGTGGCCACGATATGCACATGGAAGGAGTGGGGTGCAGCCTTGCGAGCCAGATTCGAGCATGTATCGGCCTCGAATTCTGCCCGCATGAAGCTGCGTGCCTAGAAGTAGGTGACATCGGTCCAAAACTATACTGCGACGTTCTGCGCCTTGGTCGACCAAGTGGACAGCAAGAGTGACGCGGAGCGGCTCGATAGATACGTCGCAAGCCTTAAATACGAGGTTCAGTACGAGGTGCGACGAATGAGGCCACACGATTTTAACGATGCCGTCCAGCTGGCCGAATCAACGGACGCGCTGATGCAGTGGGCAAGAATGAGTTCCCGGGAGGGAAACCGATTTCGTAGACCGCCTCGCCAGCCCACGATCAACGGTGTGGATGTGCCAAGCGTGCCCCAAACACGTGCTTCAACTGCAACCAACCAGACCACTGGAGGAAAGACTGCCTGAAGGTGAAGCAGGGAAACAAGAACGACGGAGAGGGGTCGGGAAAAGAGACGAGTCAGTAGTAACGGTCGGGCCACCTACTGACGTGACCCCGTCGCCCGACAATCACCATCCATACCGAGTAGTGGTACGGATACGGGCTATCGACCGCAACCGGACGAATAAAGTGGATGAACACGTGGATCACCCTGTGCTGGTCGTGGGGAGGGTTGACGGTCATAAAATAAAAATATTCATTGACGGTGGGGTGAGCCACAGCCTCGTCAACCTGGCAACGGCAAAAAAAATCGGAGTCAAGCTTGACAGGTGTCTGCCGGAGATCGACGCAAGGCTGGTGGATGGGACACCGCTGGCGATACGGGACGAGGTGCGACAAATTCGGATGAAGTATGGCGATGATTTCGGGTTTTCGATGAAGATGCTGGCGACAACACTGGACGGTTGCGATGTGCTGCTGGGCTGAGATTGGTTGCAGCGATACAATCCGACTATCAACTGGACGATGAGAGCTTGTATGGTGTAAAGCAACAAGGGACGTGTGACGCTTCCGGAATGGACGGAGCCAGAGCCAATGACGACACGTGTCAACACAATCACGCTAACGAGGGCGATAAAAAGGGGAGCGCAAGGCTACGCCATACAGGTGTACGAGGTGGTTGCATCCGAGAAAAAAACGCCGATATTGACACGCTCTATGCTGCTCTACCTGACGACGTGGCGACTATACTTAGGAGGTATCCCAAAATTTTCGCAGATGATATGCCTGACGGGCTACCACCTCAACGACCAGAAGACCACAGGATTGAGCTAGAGCCTGGCGCGCAACCAACTGTTCGGTCCCAGTGGCAGCTCAGCCAACCGGAGCTCGACGAGTTGCGGAAACAGCTGGATTATCTGCTCTCGAAGGGATTCATTCAGCCGAGCACATCACCATTCACTGCCCTGATGCTGTTCACACTGACGAAGGACAGAGGCCTGCGCATGTGTATCGTCTATCAAGCACTGAATCGGATCACAGTCAAGTCGCACTACCCGATTCCGCGAGTGGACCGCTCAACCCGCGACAAATTTGGTGGCTCGATTATCTCGAGTCAAACTTCCGCTACACCATCACGTACAAGAAGGGCGCCAACAACATCGCCAATGCCCTGACCCGCCCGTCAATGCAGACCGCAGCAGTACTAATTGCCCACTCCAACCCACTATTATCGGGACTATTTAAACACGGCTACAGAACCGACTGTTTCTTCAGGACGAATCAGCACCATCGGGTCACCACGCCGCACAGGAGTTACTACCTAAAGTTCGGTACGAACCGAGTTTGGGTACCATCCTACCGAACCCTACGAGAGTTGCTGACGCAGGAGGTTCATGACTCTAGCCTCTCCGGGCATTTCGGCATCGACAAAACACTGAAGCTGCTGCAGCGGAATTATTACTGGCCGGACATGGCGTCGGACGTGCAGCGCTACATATCAGCTTGCCCGACCTGCCAAGCGATGAAGTCGCCGCGCTATCGCCCAGCTGGATTGCTGCAGCCCCTCGAGCCACCCGAACGACCGTGGTAACACGTGACGATAGATTTCGTCAAAAGACTACCAGCTGGCACAAGTGGCAACGACTCGATACTGGTCGTCATTGACCGATTAACGAGAATGGCGCTCTTCGCACCATGCCGCACGACGATCACAGCCGAAGAAACCGAAAAGCTGTTCATCTCAA